CAAATACGTCGTTAGGACAGAGGACTGATGGAGAGTCACCAACGCTCTGCAGAAGGGGCAGTGGTGAGAGAGCTAGAAATCACACTACATGGGAAATGGTGACAGGAACGGGCACATTTAGCCTGGAAAGGAGTCCAGAGAAGACAGTCTCGAAAAATGGGGCAGACCTAGGCTCACCTCTGGCTATTCCTGCCTAGAGTGTTCGACCTGAATCAACACTCCAGGAAATGCTGGTAAACCCAAATGGAGGGCAGTCCCCCAAACAACTGACCTCGATGTTAAAAAATTGTCAGGACCAGGAAAAAATTATTTATTTATTTACTATCCGAAGAAGAATGGATGCATTTAAATTATGGTGTTGTCGAAGAATATTGACTATACCATGGACTGCCAGAAGAACAAATAAATCTGTCTTGGAAGAAGTACAGCCAGAACACTCCTTAGAAGCAAGGATGGTGAGACTTCGTCTCATGTACTTCGGACATGTTATCAGGAGAGATCAGTCCCTGGAGAAGGACATCATGCTTGGTAAAGAAAAAAAAAAAAAAAAAAGGGTTAGTGAAAAAGAGAAAGACCCTCAACGAGATGGATTGACACAGTGGCTGCAACAATGGACTCCAGCATAACAACGATTGGGAGGATAGTGCAGAACAGGGCAGTGTTTTGTTCTGTTGTACGTAGGATCACTATGAGTCGGAACTAACTGGATGGCACCTAACAACATTTATTTACTTTTGTCTTAGTTATCTAGTGCTACTATAACAGAAATACCACAAAGAGAAATTTATTCTCTCACAGTTTAGGAGGCTAGAAGTCCAAATTTAGGGTGCCAGTTCTGGAGGAAGGCTTTCTCTCTCTGTTGGCTCTGGGGGAAGGTCCTTGTCATCAATCTTCCCCTGATGTAGGAGCTTCTCAGTGCAGGGACCCCAGGTCCAAAGGACGTGCTAGCTCCCAGCTCTCCTTTCCTGGTGGTATGAGGTCCCTCTCTTCTCTGCTTGATTCTCTCTCTTATATCTCAAAAGAGATTGACTCAAAATACAATGTAGTCCTATAGATTGAGTCGTGCCTCATTAACATAACTGCCTCTAATTCTGCTTCATTAACATCTTAAAATGAAACCCATTGCCCTCTTGAGTAGATTCTGACTCAAGATCGACCCTATAGGACAAGGTAGAACTGCCCCATAGGGTTTCCAAGGAGCGATTGGTAGATTTGAACTGCTGACCTTTTAGTTAACAGCTGTAGCCCTTAACCACTGTGCCACTAGGGATTTGCAACACATAGGATAATCACATCAGATCACAAAATGGTGGACAACCATACACTACTGGGAGTCATGGCCTAGCCAAGTTGACACATATTTTGGGGGTTCACAATTCAATTCATGGTAAACATAAAGGACATCTTTGGGACAAGTGGTGAAATCTGAGTAGGTGAGTAGATTAAATAACCCGTCACCGTCGAGTTGATTCCGACTCATAGCTGTCCTATAGGACAGAGTAGAACTGCCCCATAAGGTTTCCAAGGCTGTTAATCTTCATGGAAGCAGACTGCCACATCTTTCTCCCATGGAGCAGCTGGTAGGTTCAAACTGCTGACTTTTCTGTTAGGAGACGAACATTTAACCACGGTGCCATCAGGGCTCTTTAGATTAGACAATAGGATGTAATGTTGTTAATTTTCTGATTTGCACTGTGGTTATGTAAGAAACTGGTCTCGTCTTAGGAAATACACACCGAAGTATTTGAGTAAAGGGCCATCAGGTCTGCAACTTGCTCTCAAGTGGTTCAGAAAAAAAAAAGACACATATACATACAGAGGGAGAGAGAAAGATAAAACAAATGTGGTAAAATGTTAACAGTTAGGGAATCTGGGTGGAGTTCTTGTATTATTTCTGTAAAACTGAAATTATTTTAAAATTAAAACTTACAAAATAAAAAGAAAAGTCAATGCCACAAAAGAAGAGAGGCTAGGGACAGTTCTGGATTGAGGGAGTCTAAATAGACACTAGAAACTCTGGTGGCACAATGGTTGAGTGCTCAGCTGCTAACCGAAAGGTGGGCGGTTTGAACCCACCAGCAGGAGAAGGATGTGGCACGGCTTCTGTAAATATTACAGCCTTGGAAACCCTATGGGGCAGTTCTACTCTGTCCTAGAGGGCCGCTATGAGTCAGAATCGACTTGACGACAAAGAGGAATAGACACTCAGAGCCCTTGGGTAGTGCAAACGATTAAGCACTCGGCTACCAACTGAAAGGGTAGAGGTTCAAGTCCACTCAGAAGTGCCTCAGAAGAAAGGCTTAGCGATCTCCTTGCGAAAAACCACAGCCACTGAAAACCCTATGGAGCATAGTTCTACTCTGGCACACATAGGGTCACCAAGAGTTGGAGTCGACTCCAGGGCAGCTGGTTTTTAAATCGACAGTAATTGCAGTGCTTCCCGATGAGTGGAGGGACCAGCTATTGATGGTACAGTGCAATGATGGGGTGTGGACATCAGAGCTTATGAGATGCCCGAATGGCAAGATGTTAATTTCCTGGGTGTGACATGTGGTTTTACAGGAGAATGTCCTTGTTCTTTGGAGATGCACATTGCATTTAGGGGAAGGGTCGGGATCTCTGCAACCCTCTCTCCTGTGGTTCTACAAAAACACATTTACAGGAAAGGGAGAGAGGAAGCCCCCGTGGTCTCGATGGAGCGTATGCAGCAGTTCGGGGTGGGGTGGGGGGCTTTTCTCAAGCCCTGTGCCCCGCAGCCAAAGGCTGGGAAGGGCCTGGGGGTGATATTAGCATTTTTCTTTCTGGCCACAAGATGTCTCCATCTCGCCAAATCAGGAGGTGGTTTTAATTTTTTCAAGTTCCTTCAAGTCAGTGGTGTCACTGGGGTTGGTGTCACCCAGTGCGGTAACTCATGGTGTCACCCGCCCCGGGTAGGGTTAGGGGGCTGCCGGCGAACTCACCCTCCCCCCTGACGAACTCACCCTCCCGCGTAGTTGGTGCGGCCCGGCCGGCCCCGCCTCCCAGCAGGCCAGATTGCCAAGCCACGAGGCCCCGCCCCTCCCAGTGTTTAGCTGACTCTAGGAGCCTCTTGCGGCTCTCCGCAGCTCCTCCCCTCTTCCACTGGCCAAGGCAGAGACCCTCCTCTCCGCCCAATGGCAGGCACCGCTGCCCGGCCTTGACTTGTGGGTGAGGGGAGTGAGTGGGGGGTGGGGGTGGACAAGTTACTGCACTGGGTGACACCAACCCTAGTGACGCCACTGCCTTGGTGGCCCCTTCGCAACCGACGCAGGCCCACCGTCCGCCGCTGCCGCTGCTGCCTCAGACCCTGGGGTCATTCTGGCGTGGTCTCCTCTGACAGTGTCAGGGGATGTGGTCGCACCCTCCACACGCCCCTAGTGACACCACTGCTTAAAGTTCCTAAGATGGTGAATTACTCCTTTGCTCGTTTCCTCTGACCCTCTTCTCTTTCTTCCACCCTGTGTTAAGGTAGTTTTTCTCAAAAGTGCTTAGTCTCTGGGTGTTTCCTGGGGGTCGCCCAGCCCTACTTCACCCTCTAGGAATTCCCCAGTACGAGGGTCTCTGATGCCCTCTGGTGGTCACCGGCTAACACAGACGTCCCCACTCCTACCCCTGAGCCGCAGAAACGTGAAATAGCTTTGCAGTCTCTCCCTGTCCTGAAAAGATTTGATTTTAGAGGGAAAGTTCATATCTCAAATCGTGAAATGTTCGAAAGACAGAGAGGTTAGGGGACTTGTCCAAGGTCACACAGCAGGGCTTGGATCTGGGATTTAGATCTGTGTTTAGCCGACTCTAGGAGCCTTGGTGGTACAGTGGTTAAGCACTTGGCTGCTAACAGAAAGGTTGTTGGTTCGAACCCACCAGCCACTCCACAGGAGGAAGATGTGGCAGTCTGCTTCCGGAAAGATTACAGCCTAGGAAACCCTATGGGGCAGTTCAACTCTGTCCTGTAGAGTCACTATGAGTTGGAATTGACTCAACGGCAACAGGTTAGCTGACTCTAAAGCCCCTGCTTTTATACCTGCACAAAGAAACAACCTACTTCATTCTGAAGATGTTCAAACACTAAGTAAACAGAGAGTATAATGAAGCCCAAACCTCTTCACTCAGCGGCAGTAGTTACCAACGTTTGGCCATGTTTGTTTCGTCTGTACCTCCACCCACTTCCCATCCCTATCGCTTAATTTTATTGCTGTTTTTGTTACTTTTATAGTTCTTTTTTAGGTAAAATTTATAAATTTTGAAATGCACTTTTACATGCTTTTATGTTTTCTTCTTTCTGTGTTTTCTTTCTTTCCGACAATGAGCAGGTACTGTTTTAATAATAAGGGAGGAAAGCAATAAAATTATGATAAAAATTTTAAAGACGTTCCTTCGAGCTGCGCCCTCCTCCCCCGCATTGAACCACAGAGCATTTCTGGGGGCTGGAGTCTCTGAGCTACTAGGCCTCGGGCCCCCCCAAAATTTTACTCTGTGCTTTGTCACTCCCCTGCCCTGCTGCCCAGTCAGGTCTCCTGTCCCCTGCCTGCCCGATCCAGGCAGAAGCCTGGGTGTGCAGGGGCCACAAACACAGCTGATCCCAGGGCTGAGCCCCGCTAGCTGCCCTCCAGCTTCTCCCTGCCACTTCCTGGGGACCCCAACCACAGGTTCACAAGAAGCTCCATCTCAAAGAGAGACTGGGGACTTCTTGGGGCCCCTTCTCTGAATGGCCTGAAGCTCCTGGGCCAAAGCAAGCTGGGCGAGGCCCTCCCCAGGCATCTCCAGCGAGGCCAGTGTGGGGAGGCGTTGCCAGGCAACCAGCCGGCTCCTCCCAGGGCCTGCTGTGGGTGGCAACGTCGTCGCCCGGCAACCAGGTGTCGGAGTCCCCTGAGCCTGGGCCACACAGCTGCTCCCAGCCCTGCCTGGCCTCTCCTGGGCCTGCAGGACCCCTGGGGACCTAGCCTGCCTACCCAAGACCAGGACAGCTGGTGCCTCTAGTCTCAATGAACGCCTTCCTCATCAGGTGAGTAGCCCTGCAATGGCTCCTGCTGGGAGGGAATGAGGTGGGGTTTTCGGGGCCTGATGCAGCCTGGGACTGCTTCTGGGGGCACGGGGTGCTCTCTCTCACACACCACGCCCATCTCAGGGTCAAGGGAAGCACAGGGTTCAAGACCACGAAAGCTTCTGGAACCTGGCCTCTGCCTGTTTCTCCAGCATTAGTGCCCACCACTCCAGTGGTGGCCAAATTCACTGGGTCTCTTCTGTCTTGCCCTCGCTCGCCTCCACCTGGGAAATCTCTTAATGCCCCAGACCTCCAGCGCGAAGCACCTCTCCTGCCGAAGCGCCACAGTCTCTGCCCTCCCCCCATCTCTGTACCACGCTGATCTATCCCTGCACTCTCACCACGCGCCCATCCCCTGCCTGTTCACTCCAACGCCTGCTTCGTCAGAGTTCACAAACTCAGGGTGCCTGTCAATCACCTGCCATGCTTCCTAAAAATGCAGTTTCCTGGGCCTCACTCAAGCAATTCTAGTTCACAGCATCTGGAATGAGGCCTGGGAATTTTCATTTTAACCGAGGCCCCCCTCCCCCGCCCCGACCTGTTAAAACAGAGGTCATGCCAGCTGTGTGACGTTTAGCAAGAAGCTTCATGTCTCTGGGCCTCAGCTTATTCATTTTAAAATGGTGATAGTACTAATACCATAAACCAAAACAAAATAAACCAAACCCATTGCCATGGAGTTGACTCCAACTCACGGTGACCCCTGTGTGTCAGAATAGAACTGTGCTCCACAAGGTTTTCAATGGCTGATTTTTTGGAAGTAGTTCACCAGGCCTTTTTCTTCTGAGGTGCCTCTGGGTATGTTCAGAACTAACTAACTTCTCAGTTAGCAGCCGAGTGTTTAAGTGTTTGTGCAAGCCAGGGACGCCACTAGTATTTTACTAGCAGGTAACTCCTCCAGAGTGTTTTGCAAATCGTGCAATGGCACACGAGTTAGGATTTGTTAGGAGGACAAAGGGCTGCTCTCCAGAGAGTTTCCAGCTTAGGGGTGTGATTAGAGGGTGGCAGGGGTTGGTGGGGGGCTTTGGTCCAATGGAGGCAGACAGGGCAGTGAGCACCTGGGGACAAGGGTAGAGCGAGTGGAGCGGGAGGCTGGGCACCTGAGGCTGGACCACCTTTGCTGTTTCAGGAGAAGGAAAGCCACAGATCATGCGCTCATCCAGTCCCTCTTAAACACCTGCTCTGGCCAGGCCTCATGCTAGGAGCATTTACAGACGAATCAGCAAGATCTCACCCCCAGAAGCTGAGGGCACGAGGAACCAAGCACCACATGAAGTGATAGATGATACGCAGGAAGCACAATTAAAGGCTTTAGGCTTCAAAGAAGGGAGACCCCCGACAGCTTGGGGGAAAGGCAGAGTCAGGAGAAACATCAGCGGGAAGATGGCCTTGGCTGCTACTGGCTGTGTCTTAAAGAATACCTCTGCTAGGAAGATAAAAGCCCTTTTAAAGGGGTCCCAGGGGGCAGTGGGGGCTTAGTGGTAGAATTCCCTTCCCTCCATGCAGGAGACCCAGGTTCGATTTCCCGCCAATGTACCTCCTGTGCAGCCACCACCCATCTGTCAGTGGAGGCTTATGTGTTGCCGTGATGCTAAACAGGTTTCAGCAGAGCTTCCAGACTAAGACAGATGAGGAAAAAAGGCCTGGAGATTGACTTCCAAAAATCAGCCAACAGTGGACTGATCCACAACCAATCATGGGGGTGGTGCAGGACCAGGCAGTGTTGTGCATGGGGTCACCGTGAGTCGAGGCTGACTCGATGGTACCTAACAACAACAAAGGGGCCCCAGGGAAGAAATGCCCAAGCTTGGAGTCAAAATCACGTTTACATTCCTGCCCGGCCACTTACGAGTTGTGTGATTGGGTAGTTGGCCCCGCTCTCTGAGACTCTTCCTCACCTGTGTTACTGGGCTGATGATGCCACTTTGAGTGTTGTCCCAGGGACAGATAGGGGGTGGGCGGGTGCCTGGCACGATGCTTCCCACATAGGAAGAGCTCAGTTAGCAGTGGCTCCTGTGTGCTTGTGATGGTCAGCTGCCCCTGGGCTGCCCGGGGTCCCTGGCCAGAGGCCCACTCAGGCCTCTGCCTCTGCAGGGACAGCCAGGTAAGGATGATGGAGAACATGGTGACCAATGCTGAGAAGTACTTTGGCCAGTTCTGCTCGCTGCTGGCTGCCTACACCCACAAGATGGCCCGGCTGCGGGACAAGGCCGACCAGCTGGTCAAACAGCTCATCGACTTCGCCAACACCGAGAACCCCGAGCTGCGGGCCACCCTGAGGAATTTTGCCGAGGACCTGGCCAAAGTGCAGGATTACCGGCAGGCCGAGGTGAGCGAGCTGGACACTTACTTCCATCATCTCCTCATGCAGGAGTCATTTCTGAGAGTCGAGGGGGCTTCTGTGAGTTGGATGAGGGTGGGCCAGGCCAGGAGACCCTGGGGGGGAGGTCTCTGAATCCTAGGTTGAAGGCGTCTCTAGGGTCCACGAGGACCCAGAGAAGGGACATAAAATTCTGAGAGGCAGGGAGGCTGCACAGTGTTGGGGAAATAATTAAAAATAAATCCCCTGCCAACCGAGAAAAATCCTTTGCAGAAACTGTAGAAAAGAATGAAATAGTTCTATTATTGTATAAGCATTAAACCAGGCGGTCATGTGCACCATAGGCAGTCCACTAAAGAGATTGCAAAGACAGACAGAATCTAGCTGGCAGACACAACCCACAACACACAAGTTCTTAAGACAGACGTTAACTTCTCCTCAAGTAAGAGGACTTGCCAGCATCGTTTGCTACACATCCACCAGCACCATTAGTTGCTGTTGACTCCACCTCCGACTCATGGCACCCCCATGTGTGTCAGAGTAGAACTGTGCTCCATAGGGTTTTCAATGGCTGATTTTTTGGAAGTAGATGCCAGGCCTTTCTTCTGAGGTGTCTCTGGGTGGACTGGAACCACCATCCTTTTGGTTAGCAGCCAATCGCGTTGACCATTTATACCACTCAGGGGCTCCATTCACCTGGTGATTGGATGATCTTCTGTATTTGCTGACTGCCTTTATCCGAAGGAAAAAATAAAACTTCTCTAGTCTCTAGGACAAGTAGGTAGTGGCAGCTTGGAGCCTGCATCTAGGCGTAGTCAGCACAAACCCCATGCTATTCTGTGCTTCACCATCCTTCCATCTTGCTTCCCTAGCTAGATCATAAGGCTGTTTGCTGAGGATGAGAATGGTCTGGATGTAAGTCCTGTCTCTGTCCTGCTGTGATTCTCAACAGAAGTCCTGCCGTAAAGCAAGCTTCAGTTTTTCTCATCTGCACAGTGGGGTTGTCATGCCAACTTGCCCAGAGTTTAGGAGAGCAATGTGTGTAGTAGGGACACAGCTGTGCTCATTTCCTCTTCTAGCCCTCCCTGGTAACCACCCTTGCCAAGTTGAGTTTTGTTCCGGGTACTGTCTTCCTAAGGGTTGTACCAAAAAAAAAAACAAAACCCAAACTTGTTGCTGGGGAGTCGATTCCAACTCATAGTGACCCTATATGACAGAGTAGAACTGCTCCATAGGGTTTCCAAGGCTGTAATCTTTATGGAAACAGACCGCCATACCTTTCTTCTGTGGAGCAGCTGGTGGGTTCAAACTGCCGACCTTGTGGTTAGTAGCCTAATGCTTAACCACTGCACCACCAGGGCTCCTTAAGGGCTGTACAGTCCCAGTGAGTCATCACGTAACCTTAGTGAGTACAATCATGCCCATTTTGCAGGTGAGGAATTGAGGCTGAGTGAGATTAAGTACATTCAATGTGCTGCTCAAGATGTTGGGTGGAAGACACAGGCACCGAGCCCAGGCCTGGTGCTTGTACCTTAAAGGGGGTGGAAGGGCATCTTGTGCTCCCCCTGCCATCCACGGGATAGACATACAGCTCTGGGTATGCAGATGGTGCTTTATAAACGCTGGCTGGAGTCTGGGCACTGAACCTGGCCCCGCAGAGGCCAAGCATCACCCTGGCTCTGTCTGCTCTGATTCCCCGCCTATCCCTGCTCCTCCAGGTTGAGAGGCTGGAGATCAAGGTCATTAGCCCCCTGAAATTCTATGGGGCGCAGATAAAGCAGACCCGGGTGAGTGCGGGGCACCACAAGGTGGGTGGCACTGGGTCTCGCTTCCCTAGATCCTGGGAAATAACCCTCTTCTTCCTTTAGGCTGAGATCAAAAAGTTCAGACATGTCCGAAATAATGAGATCAAGCAACTGGAAAAGCTAGAGAAACTGAGGCAGAAGTCACCCTCGGATCGGCAGATGATCGTATCCTTCCCACTTGTCACCAGGGTCCTTGGGGTCTTCTCTGTCCAGGCCCGCTGGGCAGGTGCTGCGAGGGGGTGGGCACCCTATGGGGCTGCTTGGCTTATCTTGGGTCCTCCTTAACAGTGGCTACTTCAGTCCCAGGTGAGTGACCATCTGTCTGGGTAAGGCAGAACCACACTCAGGTAATGAGCAACCTCACAAAACAGCCAGGTGAGTTTTCACCTGGGCAGAAGCAGGTGTGTGCAGGGCCCTGAGCTCAGGTTGGAAGATTTGAAGGTGCAGAGAAAGCACTTGCCTGGCAGTCAGGAGGCCTGGGTCTGTCCTGGCACTACCCAGCTGGGGGAACCAAGGTAAGTCATTCCCCTCCATGGGCCTCAGTTTCCTCATCTGTAAGACAAGGGCTTTTATTGCTTTTGTTTTTTTTATTTTTTGTTATTTTACTTTATTGTTTTATTTATTGCTTTTATCTTGTTTATTATTACCTATTTAATGCTCAGTCCCTAGGTAGCACAAATGCTTAGGTGCTTGGCTGCTAGCCAAAAGGATGGAGGCTCAAGTCTACCCAGAGGCACCTCAGAAGAAAGGCCTGGCAATCTAATTCCAAAAAATCAGCTATTGAAAACACTAGGGAGCAGTTCTACCCTGACACATATGAGGTCATCATGAATCAAAGCCAACTCAATGGCAATTGGTCTGGTTTTTGTTTTTTCCTGGATACCAGCCCCCAGCTCCCTGCAACAACCTAGACCAGACATTTCACAAACATGAGATCATAATTAAGGCCCCATTTTAGTGATGGAAACTGAGGCTGAGAAAGGTGACTTGCCCAAGGTCACACAGCTAATTGGCAAACCAAGAATTCAGATCCGCGGGAGTCTGACTTCAAAATACAGGTTCTTCATAGCACTGGGCCTGGCACAGAGTAGGCATCCTATAGACGTCAATCAAAGGAATGAATGACTGAGTTAATAAATAAAAATGTTGCATGTGCAAGAATTATCAATGAATGTGGAGGACCTGTTATAATAATAGCTCAGTGAGTACCCATTCTTTGATCCTCACAACCACCCTGTAATGCAGGTCTTGTTTCTGTTCTTGGTTTGCAAGCAAGGAAACTGAGGCTCAGAGAGGGTAGGTGACTTGTCTGAGGTCACACAGCTAGTACGCTGTCTGTTCCACTCCAGCACCTGTCCCCTTAGGCACGACCCTATTCAGTCACCCCTCTGACTGAATCAGAGAGCGCAGGTGAGGGGACTGCGAATGGTCCAGAATGCTGCCTGAAGGATTGAACCACCCCCCTGACACTTTCCACCTCTCGCTTCCCTTGAGCCAGGCAGAGACAAGTGTACAGAGGGCCTCGGTGGATGCCAGCCGCACCACGCAGCAGCTGGAGGAGACGATCGATGGCTTCCAGAAGCAGAAGCTGAAGGACCTTCAGGTAGGGATCAGTGTCGTGGGCACTGCGGGCTGCCTGGTGTCTGTGCATGTATTCCTGCACGTGCATGTGTATGACCAGTGTGTATGTCTATGTGAGCCTTTGTGGGTGTGCGCTTGTGAGTGGGTGTGTGAATGTGTGAGCCTGTGTGTGTGTCCATGTGTGTATGTGTGAGTATGTGTGTGTGAAAGCCTATGTGTGTGTGCAGGTGTGTGCTTGTGTGTAATGTGTGTGCTGGTGTGTGTGAGCATTATGTAAGTGTGTACGTGTGTGTGATCGTGTGTGTGTTCATGTGTGTGCAGGTGTGCTTGTGTCTAGGTACCTGTGTATACGTGAGTACATATGTGCATGTGTATGTGAAAACATAGGTGTATTTGTGTGTGTGTGTGTGCATGTGTGTGCAGGAGTGTGTGAGTGTGAGTGTGCAAATGTGTATGTGTGTGAGTTGTACCCACACAGCTCTCAGGAGCCCAGGCTCCCAGTACAGTTAATCCTGGCTGCGGGGCATAGGAGGCCAGCTGCTTAGGCAGCTGTTCCAGGCACAGCTGTCCTGCCCGGAAGCCCTCCACTGGGAAAAGACTCAAAACCCACAAGCTCTGTTGGCCTTCATCCTTTCCTTTCTGAAGCTCTAGACACTCTTCTCTGAAGAGACCATGGGGAGGTGCGGCAGGACAGGCCTGGGTCGCCCCACATCCACTCAGACTCCAGGTCCCAGTGCAGCCCAGAATCCTGGGCCCAGAGTCCCCAGCTCTTGCGAGGACTTCAGAAAGCTGGGGTCTTGAAGACCAGCTGATCACAGAGGCCCTGCATCTAGTCTTGAGCCCTTCCAGTCCAGTTTCCAAATGGCTGCCAAGAAAAACCAGCTACTGTCAAGTTGACTCTGAATGATTTTTTGGAAGTAGTTTGCCAGGCCTTTCTTCTGAGGCACCTCTGGGTGGACTTGCACCTCCAACCTTTCATTTAGCAGCCAAGTGCGTTAACCATTTTCACCACCCAGGGACTCCAGATTGCTTTCCAGGGGCCTCATAAAAGGCAGATCAGATTTGTCATTCCTGTGCTTGACAACCTCCTATGGCTTCCCTTGTTCTAAGGATAAAGTTCAAAATCCTTTCCATGGCTGGTGCCCCACACATGGTAGGAGGATGTGTTGGGGCCAGACACGCAGTAAGAGCTCTATGGGTGCCTGCTGAGCCGAGCAGTGCCTCCTGACAAGAGGAGCTGACATGGATTGCCTTTATCCCATGCCCGGTATCACTCATCATACTTGACAGTTGGGTCCAGTCAGGTTGAGGAGACCCTGGGCAGAGCAGAGTGACATGCATGTACCAGCAACTGCCCTCCCTGTCTCCAGGAAGACCGCCACAGCCCACGAGTGACAGATGGAGGTTCCATAGCCATCCACCTGCAAGCCTGTGTCCTTAGAGTGGGTGACACAAAGGCTGCAGGGATGGGCCCAGTAGACAGAGCTGAGACGACGACCCCATGAGAAACTCCTCGCAGAGAACGAGCCCTCACACATTTCTGGTACAGTCCCTGTGGAAGGCAAATGGTCAGCATTTATCAGAGTTACAAATGCATTTAACCTGCAATCCAGCAATTCCACTCCTGGAATTTATCTGCCAGCCACCCCAGTCCAGGAAAGAAATGACATTTGTAGAGGGTTCTTCATGACTGCTTTCTTGTTACAGCAAAAGACTGAACAACAACAACAACAAAAATCCATGTGTCCATCTGCCGGAGATTAGTTAAATAAATGACACACACATCCACACAAAGAAACACTATGCAGATGTAAAACAAAAATGAGTAATGAAGCTTCCTGTGGAAAGATTGCCAGGATTTATTGTCGACTGACAAATAGAAGCAAGGCTCAGACAGCGTGAAAAAGGGAGAAAATAAGAATGCGTGTTCATATCAAGAAACAGTGCAGGTATCTACAAGAAACCTCTGGAAGTTATTACCTAAAGGAAGTGGGAGAGATGGGAAAGAAGGGGACAGAGACGGGAGCAAGATGCCTCAATGTGGACCCCCTCATAGTGTTGACTTCTGAACCACGTGAATGCGTTATCTGCTCAAACAAAAATCAATCAAATTAAAAGTAACACATTGAACTTCCCCTCCAGGACCCATGTCCATAAGGATAGCCAACCCCACCTGCCGGTCTGTTTTATACATTCTGGATGTTATTCCATGACTCTCCTTTGAACAGTATTACTTACGTGGTTTGCGTTTCTCTCTCCGCAGAAAATTTTTTTGGACTTTGTAACCATTGAGATGGTCTTCCATGCCAAAGCAGTGGAGGTGTATTCCAGCGCCTTCCAGACCCTGGAGAACTATGACCTGGAGCAAGATCTAGAGGTAGGTCACAAGTGTCCGTTTTCTATTTAGTGTGTGGGGTTGAATCTGATTTTGGTTCTGTCTTAATGCAAGAAATTTTTCTTGGTAACATTTTGTAATTTTTCTAATTTTGAAAACTCATTCTAATGAACTGTTTTAAATGTCTGCCCTTGGGTGCCAAACTGAGAGTTGGAGAATTTTCCCCAATGCTGTCTATCAACATGTTCATCATCATTTGGATATTTAAAGACAAACAAATGGACAACAACAACAAAAAGTGTTTCCAGTGGAGGTCAACGGGCTCCTGCATTTATTCATCTCTACGATATTCTTTTAGGGGCGGGGTTGTTTCTAATCCAGCTATCTTCCTGTGTGACTGGAGATGAGTTACTTATCCTTGATGTGCCTCAGTTTCCCATCTATAAAAGTGGATGACAATGCCCACTTTCAGGGCTGTTGTAAGGATTATGTGAAACAACAAACAGGAAGCTTCTGGACAGTACCTGGCACAGGTGGGGGTTCCATCTGTGTTAGGTATCTCTGGGCCTTCTGGCCCCACTGTCCTCCCTGCCCACCCCCACTCCCTTTCTGTGTTTCCCAACTGGCAGGATTTCAGAGCCAAGATGCATGGAGTTTATGGGCATTACAATGCTCGGCCACTCACCAACACCAACACCTCTTCTTCTGTCCTGTGGGGTCTCACAAGCCAGGTGAGCACTGGATGGGGGCGGAGGGTGGAAGGTGCCAAACCTATGACAAAGTGAAGTGACAAGGAAAGGCCAGATCGCAGTCATCCCAGAGAGCAGAGCAGAGGCGGCTGAGAAAGAGGCATTGCTGTGAGTGGGAGGGCTATTCTGGAGTCTGGCCTGGACTTTGCCTTGAACTGAGACCAATAAAACCACTTCATCCAGGCTGCACCTGCCTACACGCATTCCCTGGCTATGGCTGCCGCGTGTCCTGGGTGCCCCCTAGTGGACTCTGAAGTGTTTGCCATTTGAGAAATGGGCTCTAGATGGGTCCAGTCCTGCGTCCCACCCAGGGGGCTGACGGGCCTCAGAATTTTTTAGATTTTAGGAAAGTAATGAGGTGCATGTGCTACATGTTATGTTGCAACCCCAGCAAGGTCTGGGGAAGACATCTGTAATGAAGCACATTTATATTTCTGCAGGGAAAACTATGAACATTCAACCAAGTGAGACCCAGTGAGTGCATGTCCAGCTAGGGTGGGCGAGGTAGGGAGCAGCCCCCCAGTGTGTGTGGCTGGGAGGCAGGGGGTCTCATACCTTTCAGAATAATTCCCTCTAAAGACAGCAGAGAAGTACGACCCCTGAGCCCCATGGCCTGTGCCCAAGCCTACCGCTCCTGAGCTGTGTGACCTTGGGAATGCTTTCCTTCTTTTAAAAAATATTTTGTTTTGTTGTTGTTGCTGAAACTATACACAGCAGAACATACACTCATCCAACAATTTCTACAAGTACAGTTCAGTGACATTGATTACATTCTTCAAGTTGTGCAACCATTCTCATCCTCCTTCGAGTAGTTTTTCCACCATTAACATAAACTCACTGCCCTCTAAGGTTCCTATCTAATCTTTCGAGTTACTGTTGTCAATTTGATCGCATATAGATAGATCTTAAAAGAGTCCAGTGCTCAAGGCAGACATTCTTTACTAGTTAAGCTAAACTATTGTTTGGTTTTGACTTCAGGGGATATTTTTGGTTTAAGGTTTAAAGATTATCTCAGGGCGATAGTTTCAGGGGTTCATCTAGCCTCCGCGGCTCCAGAAAATTTGGCCTCCAGGAAAATTTGAAATTCTATTCTGCACTTACCCCCTTTTGATCAAAGACTCTCCTGTAGAATCTTTGATCAAAACGGGGAATGTTTCTTAACCTCTCTGTGCCTTAGATTCCTCACCTGCAAAGTGGTGGCTAATAATCGTTACCTCCGCGTAGGGTTGTGGTATTAGGTGAGCAAATCCCTGTGAGGCACGAAGCACTTAGAACTGTGCCTGTTGCACAGCAAACACTCGATTTTAGTCCCTGCCATTGTTATTATTGATGTCGTTGTTATTCTTCTTCTTTAGAGTGCTCAGAGCACCATCCAGAGTCAGAGGAAAGAAGAGGAGGCGAGTGAGGATGGGTCTGTGGAGGAGGATGTGGTGGAGGATCTCAGGGGGCAGGGGCAGGGGCAAGGACTCCATAAGTAAGAAGAGAATGCTGCCCCGTGACATTCAGAAAACCTGGGATGGCTTGAAGTCAGATGCCCTTGACCCTCGAGGGGACTCTGCTGTGTAACCCTGGGCAAGTCATGTGTCCTTAAGGACAGTGTCTCTCACCTCGCAGGCTACTCCAGGGATTCCACCTGCCTAGCACTATGCCTGGCACACAGTAGGTGCTCAATAAATGCAGAGTCTCAGCCAAATTGTCCTCTGTCCTGTTCCATAACTTATGACCCAGGGGCCTGGTGTGTTTAACCTGCATTAATGTTGGGAGTCCCTCGGTGGCACAAACAGTTAAGCACTCAACTACTAACTAAAAGGTTGGTGGTTAGAACCCACCCAGAGGGGCCTTAGAAGACGGGCCTGGGGATCTGCTTCCGAAAGGTCATAGCCTTAAAACCCTATGGAGCACAGTTCTACTCTGCAACACATGGGGTCACCATGAGTTAGAGTTGACTCAACAGCAACCAGTTTGTTTTTTTTTTTTTTTTGGTTTTACTGTTGGGAGCAGGGAACTGATGTGCAGGGCCATCTGGGGACCAAGGGCACATCACAGAAGTCCACAGAGCTGGGGGATGGGGACAACAGAAGGTGGAACAAGGGGAAGGGGTGCTCAGACTTGGCTAGCTGCCTTCCTGGGCCCTTGGGGACACATTTGGAGGGAAAATTCCCAATGCAGCACTGTCTCCCCACTTCTCCCTGCACTAGTGACTCGGCATAGCTGAGCTGTAGCTGACATTCCTGGGTCCTGGAATTGGATTCTGTGCCCAGCACCATGTACAGACTTCTCTGTGGGTGAAGGCCACACACACCCAGGGAAGTCGGAAGGTTGTAGATCATAATGAGCCTAAAAGTGCAGACATGCTCCACTTGTCACAGCAACCCCTGAACAGATCACACCAGCCTGGGGTCCCAGCAGCTCAAAGCTGGAGGATTCCTGCATTCCCATTGTGATGCAAGGGACCAGGGAAAGTTCCAAATCCTCCAGTGTGACGCAGAACAGAATAGAAACTTCTCTTTCCACCGAGCTTCCTAGGCGGGTCACAGACCTTCTGCCTGGTGGGCCTGCTTCTTTGGAGGGGCCACAGTGTCTTAAATTGGGGGTATCCACGCTCAGGGTCACCCAGGCCTCAGCAAGCCTCCTCCCTCCTCACTGAAAACCTTGGGCCAAAACACTGTCCCGCAGCCTCTTGCGCTCACTAGGGGACAGAGACTCACATCTGCACAAGACCCAGCCCAAGTCGGGTAAACATCTCTCTGATCCCAGAAAAAAAATGTCTCCTTCTCAAAAGTCACTAACGTAACTGAGAAGTTGGCAAATTCTGTGAAAAGTCCTCACAGATATGTTAAAACAAAAATGAAACAAACATGACTTTTTTTTTAAGGATAATTTATTTCAGTTTCCACCTTCTGACAACCCAAGGTGCAATATATATACATTTTTTTTTTCTTCACAGGAAACAGCTTTGATTTTAGCACTGTTTTGAGATCTTCAACCTCAAAACTTTCTCAGCCTTAAAATATAGTCTGTAGAGCATCACCTAGTGGACACAAAGTTGCATGACTGTAGCACATAAAATGCTGCTGTCATTGAACTACACTTCTAAACTACAAAGAAGGCAATATTGGGATGTGATAATGCAAGTTTGGATCTAAGTGAAACTCAGGTGAAAGAGCAAACAGAAGGTACAGATGTCAAACAGCACTGAAAACCTCAAGAGAAACCACAGTTTGTAACACAGGTAGCAGATGAACTACTTTCTGACATATTTACATATTCTAAGGGGGTATACAGGGAGCCCTGGTGGCACAGTGGTTAAAGCACTTGGCTGCTAACCAAAAGGTTTGAACCTACCAGCCGCTCCTCAGGAGAAAGATGTGGCAGTCTGCTTTCATAAAGGTTTACAGCCTTGGAAACTATAGGGTAGTTCTACTCTACCCTGGAGGGTTGCTGAGTTGGAATTGACTTGACAGCAGTGGGTTTTGTTTGGGTTTTAAGGGGGTATATGCATATTCTTTGAATTCCTAGCATTTCCCAGAGTTCAAATGTTTGACTCACCTTTCCCAAGGTGTCTACCTGGAAGATTCCAAGGGACAGTCCTTAGGCTGGTCTCCTGACCTTACTGGGCTGCCCCCTTCCCTCACTTCCTTCCCAATAGCTGAACTGAGAGCGATGCTGTCACTTGCAAAGGAAAGAATGCAGGATTCTATGAAATCAGAATCCATCCCTGATTCAAAGCTCTTCATCTGCTATGGATGCCTTCCTTCCCATAGTCCTGCGTAGGGATGGGGCCCAATGCATGTTTCCTCTCTCTCTTTTCTGTGAGCCCATTTGCTTAGGAACTAGAAGGGACCAGGTACAGCCCTCTCCCACATTCTAGCTCAATGCCAAGCAGGTAAACAACAAGAATCCTCTTTCTAGTTAAAGTGCAAAATTCCTTAGCATGCAGCTGAGAGCGCCCCAGGTCCCCGGGCTCCAGGGGTGACTCTGTGGAGAGGCCCGGATATGGGTGCTTACTAGATTGCACAGATATCCTGGGGGAGGTGTGTGTGGAAGTGAGAGGAGATGAGCAAACCCAGGGGGTTCTCACTCTACTGGAAGTGATGGGGTTTCCCCTTTCCAGTAGTAACCACTGGAAGAGTAACGGTTAAGGTAATGTGACCATTACCAAAGCAAAGGTAACCTGATTAAAGAAGCTCCAATGGAAGTACGGCCCCATGTAAACCCCATGGACACTTGAGTCCCCCAGATACCGCTTTGGGTCAGGAGGGTCCCCCTCCTGAGCTCTCTTCCTCATCTCCTCTTTGGAACCCCCACAGACTGGCCAGACTGGGGACACTGGCCTGAGACCAACCAAGGCCGGCCATCGATGTGGCTCCCTGTTCCCCAGGCAACAGAGCGGGCCCTGGGGTGCCTCTCACTCCTGGGGAGTCTGAGCTGCTCCACATGGTGCTGAACCCCAGGAATACAAGACACCTGCCCAGACACAGCAAGGGTGCCCACCCTTCCAAATCAGACTGAATGGTGCTGAGAATGGGATTAATGTTTAGGGTATTCTCTGGGATGAAAAACCTGGAAATGGCTCATCCACTGGAGATGAAGCAGCACCTTCCTCTTCCCAGCCACACGGGAACAAGAATGCCCTGGGGCAATGGCCCTCTGGTTAGTGACAGCAAGCCCTGTGTCTGTCTGAAGCTCCAACATGGAACATTCGTCAATTAGGAGCATTTCTAGTCAAAGGGGAATTGTTTCCCCTTTGCTGTAAGCTCAGCTGAAAGCTTTTCAAGTGGAATGTGTCTCCGAGAGTCATAAAAATTAAGAAGCAATTTACAGGAATAGTGGGTGAGACAACTGAGTCGTAAGACAAAGAGCTGAGCAGAACTAAATGGCTATGTGGGCAGGAAAGAGGAGCTTGAGGGGTCTGTAGAGACCCAAAGCCAAGTGAAAAGCCCAGTCTCAGACCACCTACCCATCCTCGGGCTGGCCTCCACCCCTCCCCCACCCCGTCCTTGGGCCGGCCTCCACCTCCCTCCTGGAAAGAGTGTCCCTCCCTTCTGCCTTCTGCGACAATGGACCCCTACCTTTTTTAAGTCCTCTCTTCCCAAGATCTCCACTGTTCTTGGCAAACTAGTTGGCTCCCTGACTGCCCAGTTATCCAAAGCCTTAGGTAACATGGTAGTAAAGGGACCTAACCATACAGGCCAACTAGTTAGGGTACTGTAACACCCAGGAAGGCCAGGCTTGTGGCTCATGGCTCTGAACTTCTGGTTAAGGTAACTGGGTTAGACCAGAACCTTCTGTAAACTCCTCTGTGGTGTGAACTCTGGGCACATTCTCCAAGAGGAAGCTGGAGTGCTTGATGCCCCCCGTGTCATAAATTAACCCACATGACACTGTCCACGGAAAAGCAAACCCTGGATTTACTGCCTCTGTTCATGTGAATGACCTCCACAGTCCAAGCGGCTGGGAGAAGTGAGTTGTAGGGACCACTTGGTTTCAACTCAAGGAGAGGACAGAAGCAGAATGCAAGGCAATGAGTGGGGCTGGTGGGTGGGTGCCTCTGTCTGGGGTGTGGTGCTGGTTCTAAATCCAGCGTGTGCTCCTTGGATCAACCTGAACATTTGGGGTTTTAATCTGGGGACAGAATGCAGGAACTGGACCTATCTTCCAACTCCCCCACCTCCTTTTGTAATTTCATAGCTCTTCAGCCCACTTTTTTTTTTTTTTTTGGCAATAGGAAAATCATAGTCTACTCCATTTTATTGTACAAATAACCACACACACACACACACACACACCAGATGCCATCTGGAGAGTAACACAGCCCCTCTTAAACATCTATCAAGATTGCTAAAACTATAACAAAGACTAAAAACATACAAAGCCATGTCTCAACATTGCACTGTTTCTAAAGCAGGAAACTTTTAATTTGAGAGAATTCTCTGGATCTGGCTCACTGGGATTCCCATAGCCCTGAAGGTCAGACAGTAGAAAATCTGAACCACCACTGCTAAGGACAGGCCTTCTAAGCCCCTGGCTTTGGACACTACTCGCTAGGACTGGAAAGGTTTCTTCTTGGATATCATCTGATGTTTCCTGCACTGGGTCTGAAGTTCCTGCATTTACAGGAAATGCTATGTTTTAACCTACAACACTGTGTACTTGCGTATACACACAGATACGAAATCTCTGCCACCTAGACTGCAAAACTGAGTGATTCCACAGAGGGCTCCCTCATTTCTGCTCTGGTGGGGCCCGGGGTGAAGAGACAAGGTGGCAGGGAGGAGAGAGGCAAGCTGTCAACCTTCTTCTAAGGACGTCATGCCCTTCCTGGTGACAGTGGCCAGAGGCACTTCCAGAGCAAGCTGCTCAGCCAGAGCCGCTGCCAAGAGAGGAAACAGCAGACAGTGTCACCTCCTGACTCAGTGTCACCTCCTGCCTCACTGTCTCCATTGCGGGGGCCAGGTTTTCTGTGGTAGCTTTCCCACCTGGGGCTTAGCAAAATAGGTAACACTTCTAGGGGTCAGATTCACTTCAACCTTCAGGAGCTGGATCTATGAAAACAAGGTGGTGGGGGGTGGGAGCAAAACAAAACTTTTCTTCCACTTGTTTCAAGAAGTCTAGATGAAAAAAAAAAGACTATCAAGATCCCATTTGAAGGTCAGAAATTGCCTTAAAATGCTTGGAAAAACCAAAAGAAGTCAAAGCTGTACTTCCTTTGAAACGCTGTGCCAGTCCCGGCTCCAACTCATCCTGGAGGAGCAGGATCCAGGGGCTTTCTAGCACCCCTGGAGAGGGTCTTGGAATCTATTTTTCTCTCCAAAAATCAGACCAAATCAAAACTCATACACAAAAATCTTATATATACAAGGATAAGTCTTTTGGGCACCTTAAAGTCTTAATGCATTTTAGTAACTACTATACCTAACTAGTCTGACCACAGGACAGCAAAGTGGAGGGCCTATCATCAGCTCTGCAGGCTGTGACAGAGCACTCGGCCAGCCCTTAAGTTTAGAGAGGAGGGAAGTTAGCATGGGGCATCTGGGGATGGTTATATGCGTTATCCCCAAGGAGGCATCAGAGAGGAGGGGCCTGCACACCCTTAATTCACTATTGTTTCTCTAAAACCTTTTTAGTGGAGACATCACGATTTGGGGGACCTAATAATGGGAGCTCCATCCTCTAAGATCTGCCTCACCTACAAGAAGCACACCGCCACCACTGCTTAGTGGCATTGTACGTAGGCTGAAATATATACACGCACACATGTGGCACCATCAGTAAAAATGAGCCCCCCTCAAAGCTCCAACCCTGTTCTCTGGGCGGGCAGCCCTCTACATGTGTGTGCTCAGATCAGCCATACTTCATGTCACCCAACACCCAAAACATGCGCTCCAGAGGGCTACCACTTCCTGTTCCTCCCTGCTGAGCACCAGCTGGGTAAGGGAATGTCAGCATCCATTTGTCCTGCTCACAGATGAAACATTGATTTAATTTGATTGAGATTAGAGGAGGTGGGAGGGAGGAAGGGGGAGGTAGGGGAGGAGAGCGCCTCACGGCCTATCCAAGGTCAGAATTGTGCAGGGCAGCAGGCAGAGGGAGTATTTACACGGGGCAGGGGCAGGCTCGGGAGCCGGTGGGCCTGGTGCTGGCGGCCTGGATGCCAGCCCCTCTGACTGGTGTGGCTGGGACAAGCCCCAGACACTGAGATAGGTGAAGGGACTATCAGCAGAGTGCGAAGGAGAGCGGTCACCGTGCGGCTGTGCCTTCCAGGGGCTGCGGGTGGAGGTGTCCAGTGCTCAGGCTTCAGATGAAGGACGTACTCGATGACGAGCCGTGGGCAATCGCTCCCCACAGTGCCTCTCCCTGCTGCCCTGCCTCTGTCAGAGGGACCCTGAGCGTGGACTTCTCTGTCCCTTTTGAAATAAAAAGCAGCTCTGTCTGGATTTAGAAAGGGCACTGTCTTGCAGCTTCTAAAGGAACTTCTCTTTCCTGTGTCTCTTGCACAGGACAAAAAACCCTGCTTCTCCTGGGGAGCTGCGGAACTTTCTTGGCTTCAAAAAGAAGCCGCCGGCTGACGAAGCACTTCTCACATGGCTGACGCCGCATGAATCCTGTGATGTCCCCAGCCGGGCTCTCGCTCAAACGGTCCTTTAGTTGGGGCCGGGTCCTGCTGCTGCATCCTTTCACGGTCTCTCTCTAAAATAGAAGGATTTTCTCTCCTTGAGCTTCCTGTGACTCCAGTTCCTGTCCTATGAGGAGAAAGCAAGTACCTGCCACGGAGCAACACTGAAAGGGTCAATATCCTCTCCCCAGCTCCCCCAGGGGTCTGTGTGGATTAGGTGGCCTACACCCCAAGGTTAGGTCCTAGGTCTTCAGCCATACTGACAGCGCCTGCCTCTGTGTGACTGCTGCATGCTGGGCAGCTCTTGCCCTCCTCTGGCATCCGCCCTCACCTACATCCTGAGCCCACCAGCCTCTCTTCCGCACAGTCTCTCCAGCGGGGTCAGTGGCGGGGTGGGGTAGCATGCCTTCCCCCTCCTTCCCCTCATCTCACAAGTCACCTCAGCTTTAGCCATACAGTCCAAGGGGCACTTTGGCAAGTGGATGGGGAGCAGATACAGGCAGAGAGGTGAGGACGGTCACCAGGTTCTTCTAACGGTTAGTTCTAGGGCAGCAGGGCGGCTCTGGGCACTGCTGATGTCATGCAGGGTTATCGAGGGTGACAGCCAGTCACTGGGCCTAGAAGAGTGGTGTGCACCCTCAGTCCTCCGTGGCGGGTGCCGTGGGGCAGCCTCCTGTGGGCTACTCAATGGCCATCTGCTCAATGTGGTCACTGAGCAGCTTGTACTGCTCTGGAAGAGAAAACAGCATTATTTCTCAGAAGATCGCTAGGCAGACAGGTCTGTCCCACTCTTCTGACAAGAGGCCACTGCAAATCAGGGGTCTTGTAAGGAGTGGTGAGTGCAGGTATCTCACTCACACTGCTTCTCCGGGCAACCCTGGGCACCCCTGTCTGCCAAGCATCGTGGGCAGGGCTGAGCCACAACATGATGGGTTAATGCAGAGACCCCATTTACCAACACGATGGGTGTCAGCCATGAACTTGAGTCCGCTGGATTCCTGGGAATCAGGGACACATGTTCGTATACAGGTGATGTTACAGATGATGTTATATTAGCCATTACTGATTGCTGTCAAGTCAATTCCGACTCATAGTGACTCTACAGGATAGAGTAGAACTGCCCCATAGGGTTTCCAAGGCTGTAAATCTTTATTGGAAGCAGATTGCCACATCTTTTTCCCACAAAGTGGCTGGTGGGTTCAAACCACTGACCTTTCAATTAGCAGCAGGGTGTTCTAACCACTGTAACACCAAGGCTCCTCATTAGCCATTAGGGAGATACAAACCACAATGAGATACTACCTCACCCCTACCTCTATTAGAATGGCAATGATAAAAAACAAAAAAACAAAAAAACAAACAAACAAACAAAAACCCAGAAAACAACAGGTGTTGGCGAGGTTGTGGAGAAACTGGAACCTTATACATTGCTGATGGGAATGTAAAGTGGTACAGCCACTGTGGAAAACAGTTTGGTGTTTCCTCAAAAAGCTGAACATAGAACTACCGTATAACCCAGCAATCCCAATCCTAGGTATACACCCAGAAGAAGTGAAGGCAGGAACACAAACAGGAATCTGTACACCAATGTTCACTGCAGTACTTTTCACAATAGCCAAAAGGTGGAAATAACCTAAATGTCCATCAACAGACAAATGGATAAACAAAACGTGGTCTATCCATATAACGGAATACTACACAGTCATAAAGAGAAATGAAGTTCTGATGCATGCCACAGCATCGATGAACCTTGAAAACATCATGTTGAGCGCAATAAGTCAGTCGCAAAAGGACAAATTCTGCATGATCTCACGTATATGAAATAAGCAATATTAGAAACCAAAGATTATTAATGGTTACCAGGGGTTGGAGGGAGGGTGAAAGAGGAAGATTTTTGCTTAAGGGGCACTGAGGTTTTGTGAATGGTGGTGGAATAATTCAGAAAAGGATAGTGAGCATGGTTGTACAACATGAAAAATCCAGTCATGAATTATACATGTAGAAACTGTTGAATTGGTGAATGTTTTGCTGCATATAGTTTCACCATTAAAAAAAAAAAAACCCTACGGAGTACAGTTCGACTCTGACACACATGGGGTTGCCATGAGTCAGGGATGACTGGGCAACTGGTTTGGTTTGGGATAATGAATAAAGTTTTCCATGGATTTGGGAAGTTGACCTCAGCAAAGAACTCCCTTCTGTTACAGAAACCAGAGATTCTAGAAAAATCTCAAGATTCCCCCCCACCTCCCTTCTTCCCCCTACGGGAGCTCTCATTTAGAGCCATTTAGAAGGTGGGGCAACTTATGGCCAGAGCTTGACTATTTACAAGTTCAGAGTCTGAGGCTGACTTGCATGTTTACCTTTGTCCTGTGTGTAAACACTGAGGGAGCGGGCTCCTCCCGCACCACCCTTGGCAAATCTTATCCAGCAGAAATGGTTTTCCAAGCAGAATGTGCACTGTTTCAAGCATTTAAGTAGACACAGGGAAAGGGAAGAGTCCTGGGTGGTGCAAATGGTTAAGGTGCCTGGCTGCTAACCAAAAGGTTGGAAGTTCTAGTTCACCGAGAGGTGCCTAGGAAGAAAGGCCTGGTGATCTAGTCCCAAAAGATCAGCCATTGAAAAACTATGGAGCACAGTTCTACTCTGACACACATGGAGTTGCCATGAATTGGAGTTGACTTGATGGCAGCTGGTACTGGTAGGGAAAGAGAGGAGGAGTAATCAGGACCAACTAAATAGTTTAACGTCACATTTACAGTTAAAAGAGGTGTATTGCTTTGAGCAGGGTGGGAAACTGCAGGATGCAGAGCACTTGTCCCTAAAACTCTAGCCTGCCTGTCTCTGGTCACCAGAACTCTCACCTTCGTCCAGGTTCCCGATCACGGCCTGCTTCTTCAGAAAGTCATTGCACAGCTTCTTGTTCAGTCCGAAAGCCAGCATGTTGTGTATGAATGTGCTGGGGGAAAAACACCCATGAGCCACTGCCCTCCTGCCTCCCAGGGAGAGGGGACACAGGAAGCTGGGCCCTTGCCTCCAGGATGCCCAACATGCAGCTGCCCGAAATTGTTAGCAACAAATAAAAATAAATCGTTACCAAATTAGCCAGCCAACAACTCTCAGTGCGAAACCACCCGCCACCAGGTGCTGTGTTAGAAGTCTGCATTAATTAGGAGCTGGAATTGAGGCCAAATGTAATTAAGTATATGGTTCTGAGCAGCTTCAGAATAAACACATTGTGACTGGTGACATCGTGTCACCAATGTGTTCCATTACAAGGGACAGCTGACACAGAAAGTCTGGATGGAGTGAGACCTCCCTGTACTTGAGACTCCTGTGCCAGAGACACAGGTGGAAGGTGGCCTCACTCCCTATTCCCCCATGTATGCCACCCATGCCCCCATGTAAGCCACACAGGAAATTCCATCAGGTGGCCCACAACCCACAAAACCTAGGCATTGATTGTGGTGCCTCAACGCTGCCTGCCAGAATTCTAATTCTGAATAGGGCAGTCCTGTGATGCTCAGTGAGGTGTGAGGCCTGCCCAGGAAGGAGTTCAGGGCTGGCTGCGGCCTCACCGGCCCTTACCCCAGCTGTCCAAAGGCGATATTCTCATTGAACCGCAGGCTGTCATCACGCTCCTCCTGGGTCATGTGGCACCACTTCTCCCTGCAGGCACAGGAGCAAAAGGACAGGGGCGTTCAGGGAATGCCACTTGCGCTCACCACTCACCCTGGCCCGATCCACAGGTGCAAAGCATTGACCCAGAAAGGGGGGTTCATTGTGCTTTTACACAAAGCCACGAGAACTCATCTGACGTTTTGTCCAAAGGGCCCGAATACAGATTATTTCATTCTTTCTAAGATGTGGAGATCCAAACGCTAACACGCTCTCCACTGACCTGGAGAGGATGTGTACTTGGAGTCTGCCAAAACATTCTTTAGGAAACAACACCATCACCCATGTCCTTATCTCTGGGTTAAAGGATGGGAGGTCATGGCCCCACTTCACAGAGGTGAAGCCTCCAGAGAGCAAAGGAACTTGCCCAGGGCATACAGTGACTGGGGGTAGAGAACCTGGGAGAAGGTTCTCAGCCTCGCACCTGCGTCTCCAGGCCTTGCTGGCTCTTCGGTGTGGTCTGACTATATGGCCACATGCTGCATCCTTGGGCCCAGCTGCAGGGCCGAGGAGGCCCAGGAGCCAGGGGAGGCCAGAAGGGCTCTGCCGGCCACATTTCCCTTCTATCAAGCAGAGGATTCTGCCTTCACCCTTCTCACAGCCTTCTCTGTTGATGCCTACTGTCCACCCCACCACCCCAGCCCTGATAACATGGGTGAAACCCACACTCTTCATGTTAGGCCTCTCTGAACAGGTACTCCGGGTCTGCCTCAGAGACTCTAGAACAGAGTGCTGAAACCCCACCGAGAAATTAATGGTGTCTGTGGGCGACGTCATGATTGAAGGCCCTAGTAGGGAGACTTTCTGAAGAACTAATTTGACTTTATGTTTGTGGTGGAGAGACACTAAAGAGCAGAAGATTTGTGGTGGGGAGAGTGCTCGGTGGAGCATGCACCTTTCACAGGCTTAGAGGGAGCAGTGTGAATTCTCAGCATTTCCACGAGGAGAGATAATGCTGCCCTGAGTTATAGCGCCTCCTCCATCAGCTCACTGCAGTGGACCAGCTCGAATGTGAATGCTTTCTCCTCCTAGTCCCAAGTGCAAATATGGACTTTCCCCACTCCTGCACCTTCCTTGGTGTAATGACAAGCACCCGGTCCCCTTGGAACCCAAACGACACTGTGTCTATGCACAGGAGCAGTACAGACACTGAAGCTCATTTTAGCACATTACCCCCTAAAAATAAAACTCTGTATGGGTGAGGCTGACTGAAAAACAGTTAAGAGAAAGATAAAAGAAAAGCGACAGAAGAGAGAGTATGAGGGAGTTGGGGGTTGGGCATAATGGAGAAGCCAGAGGAAGAGAAACAAAACAAAAGAACATAAATTCTTAACTCATCTCCAACCTCCTGGCCCACAGGATGTCACTGGTGCTGCTGCAGTTTAGCAGGGGGGGACCACAGGACATCAGGGGTGTAACAGTGGTAGGGGGCATCACTGTCAGTCTTATCATGCTGAGACATAATAACACACAAAAATACCAAGAATGTATTTCCAGGTGCTTTGCTGAGTCCCATTCCATTTTCCCGTCCCATCCTCTTCCCCCACATTCACCCTTAGGATTGTGCAGGCACACACATTCCTGCACCTCCTGCACAACCCCAGACCATGGGGGAGTAGCCCCCTCAGTGGTGTGTAGTAGCCCGGCCCCCACCACTCCTGGCTCTGGTGAGGAAGCGATTCTCTTTCTTGCTTTGGCCAGAACTCCTATTGGGACATTTACCCTGACCTCTGGAGAAAGAGGTTGAGGGTCATTATCAATTAGCAGAGTCCAGCGATGCCTACAATTAAATCAGTTCCTTAAATCTGAGTTCAACATCCAATACCGTTCAAGGTCTAATACCATACAGTGAAACGAGCATGAGTCTAAAGCGTCAGAGTGGAAATGTGGAAGTGACCAACAGCTTGCTGAAAGGGAAACCTGACAGAGATTTCATGAAATGGCATCTTGTTGTCAGCAGGCGTTACCCAAAAAGAGAAATAATGTTGGAGGCACGAGCTTGACTGGGGACCTGGGTTCACTCACTCTTCCCCACCCCACTCCCACGAATGCCAAAGGAATACTTGCCCCTCTCTTTGGGTGAGGCTCGGGGGCACTTGTGGGTGTCTCGGGACAGGTCAGAGATGTGGAGACTGCCTGGGACCAGGTGCCATCAGGTGACTTCTGCTCTCAGGATAGGAGGCCCATGAAGCCAAGAAGGCTGGCTGGCTGTTCTCTTGGCAGGCCCAGGACAGCTCCCCGGATAGCTCCCCCTCCCGTCAGCAGCACCCATCAGCCCAGAAGAGAGGCTTATTCCTCTTTGGGCCAAGGCTAGCTGTGCTAAGAAGCTTTGTTCCTGGAAGACTGGTTAATCCCAGTATCACCCTGTGGGGACTTTGGGTTTTTTTTTTGTTTGTTTTTTGTTTTAAAAAGGAGGTATTTATTATACCTAAATGCTTCTTTTAAGACCATACCCATGAAGCGGCTACATAAGAAGGAACAATAAGCACTACAAATACATCACTGATTACAGGAGGCATGTTTCATGAAACTGTCACTGAAAAAAAAAATCATTGTATTAGAAACTATAATTTGAATTGGCAGGTCTCTAACTCTAAAAATAGATTACAAAGGCTATCTAACAAAAACAAAGCTTAACCAATTAGGAGGATAAGCTAAGATTCTCTAACAACAGTGCAGAATTAACTTCTTCCCTCACTTAGAAGAGAACTCCTTTGACTGGTGGACAGGTTTTTCTGCTTCTTTGAAGAACAGACATTTGTGAAGAACGAGCCCCTGGTAACCATGTCCACGGCACACTAGGCTGGGGAGAAGCCACCTCTTTTGCTAACATTAGCTAAAGAGATGTGGTGGGCCTGCGCCTGCCCCACTAACATGTGAGAACCCGAAACTACTTAGAAAAGATTCACTTTGGGCAGTTCTTCCTTGTCCCGTATTAATGTTCAGTGGCCTCAGGAAGACTATAGAGGAACTTTGTGCATGTGTGGGGTGAGGAGGTAGTTAGAAAGTCGCTTTTACAAGACGTTATGATATATTATATATATTTTTAATAAAGTTGGAGTTCTTTTCCAGTTTCCTTTATTCATTTACCAAGTCTTTAACTCTAAACATTAGTGATTCTAAAATACCTGGACATGCAATGTTCTCCCCACTTCAGTCACATCCTCCAGAGTTTACTTGGTCTATATGGGCAAACACATCACCACATATGATTCTGAAGCCCCCACTCTCAGGGCATGACCTCCCTCCACCCCCAGGGCAGTCAGACCTCACTGTGGGCTCACAGGAAACAACTCCATTCTAGGGCCTTGTCTTGAAAGGCCCCCACCTACCCCGCTGCCACAAATCCCATATCACCACATGACTGGAAGAAAGGGAACAGCCAACCTCCCTCTGGCCCCATCGCCCCATCACTGCGGCTCCCCTGACCGAGTGTGAGATCACAGAGGCTGAGGCCTAGCTGAGAGATCGCTTGGGAGGGGTGGAGTGGCTGGTTGAGAGCCTGACTTGCTCAAACCTGAAGCAGACTCCCTGCTGTCATGCACTCTCCCTCTCTGAATCGTCCTGTGCTTCGCATTAGATCCAGGAGTCATACGTGATCTCTGACTATTTCCAGGTGCTCTGGCCTTGGGGTGCTCCCACCCTGCCACAGCCACTGCAACGGACCCCCAGGGACACCAGCACCGCCAGATGCACCGGATGCCCGTGCTTGGGCTCTGCCCTCTGCATTGGCTCCCACACACTGCCCCCACCCGCTGTGGCCCTCGAGTGACCCCACGGCACTGTAAAATGGAACGAAGTCACGGGGACACACACACCTCTTCTCCTCCTCCTCTCCAGCCTTCCCTCTGGAGCGGCAGCAGAAACAGGTAAACAAAGAACATGTCAAAGTCATGCAAGATATGTGGATGGAAAAGAGAACAGGTGAAAGGGCAAGAGCATCATAGGTAGGGAGAGAGAGAGACAGAGGGAGACAGGTATCTGAAATAAATTCACTTCGAAGAGGTGTGAAAACTAAACAACAAGAGCAAAACCCCACTGGCCTGTAAGCATCTGAGCATTTCCGGGATTTTTTTCTTTTTATCCTGAAGAGTATACCATTCTCTCTCTAGAGTCCTTTGGGATAGAATCTCAGCGTCTTTCCCACCCGGAGACCTCATCCCCAAGAGGGCATTAATTGCCCCCCAAAAGAAAGTTCACTTAAGACACTCCCAAATGTTGGCATCCTAAGGTTTTTATGCAAAAGGCAGTCATCTGCTTTCTCTCCTGTCAGGGAGAAAGATGAAGGGATCTCCCATGTTGGAGGAGGGGCTTCATTTTATTACTGGGGAAACTGAGGCTCTGTGAGGTTCAGAGACTCTTCAAAGTCACATGGTAGGCAGGGCCAAGAAGGGGACCCAGGGTCGCTGGAGACTGCGGCTCCTTTACTCGCTGCCGCTTGACACAGTGGAGGGCGTCTTCTCTTCTGTGGCCAGAAAGAGAACCAAGAATCCGCCCACGGGCATTAATGCCAACCCTTCTCTGCCGCTACATACTTTTTAGAGGGCTTACAAAGGGGTATTCTCATGTGGCCAAGTGACCCCTAGTGAGGCTGGTGAGGCTGGAAAGACTGTGGACAAACTGAAAGGAGCAGCAGCATTTCCACTGCAATTCCCTCTAAAACAAAGTCTGGGTGGCCGCCAGCACTGCCCCCCCACCCTGCCCCTACCACAGGTTCTGCTGCAGGGTCTACCTCAGGGTTCTGACTTCACACACCGCTTAAGCAAGGGGTCTGGGGTTCCTGGTGGCTCATTCAGTGGGACTATGCATTTTCCAGGAGGGTCAGGCCAAGTCATGCCAGTGCCCAGGACAGAAAGCGCTCATGCAAGCGATTCCCCCAACCACCAAGCTGCGCGTTCCCAGGACCCTCAGGCAGCTTGCAGGGCGCCAGGGCTAAGAGAGGTTGAAGGAAAATAGGTACACATCAACTCAGCCATTCTTCTGCTTCCTCTTCAGAAACAGGAAAATAGAGACACTCCCCGGTCCTCTTTCCTGAGGCCAAGCAGACCAGACACTTGGCTCCTACCTGGTGGTGGGAGACCGCTTTCTCCTCTCACAGTGGACAGCATCGAAAAAGGCGGCATTCCAGAACCTCAGGGTATGCCTACAGACAGAGGCAGGAAAGACACAGGTCTCAGGCCCACATCTGCATGAACTTGTAAACGAGTGAGCACGAGGCTTTACCCTAAATACAGGTGGCTCCCTGGGGCTCCAAGCACAGGGTCAGTCCTAGCATCTGCATGTCTCCCTTAGGAGAGAAGGTGAAACTGGGGTAGAAAAGCATAACTTCAGCTGAAATGTAGCATAAGGATGATGAGGGAGCTGGTAAACCTTGGGATCACTGGGCTGGAACTGTAGGATGCAGAGGTAGGTGCTTTCCACCTCTCCGTTCAGTTGAGACTTCCAAGAGGAAGCAGAGGGTATGGGAGACCTGCTTTTCCAGAATAGGGTCTGATAATCATAAATGAGATTGGCAGGGACACACCTTGTGCAGAGAGAACAAACAACTTTACAGGAATATACACGTAAAGACAAATTCTTCTTAAAGATCAGGGGATGGCAAACTATGGCCTGCAGACCAAATCTGGCACACTGCGTTTCTGTAAATAATGTTTCATTGGGACACATGCACATTCATTTACACATTGTCTATGGCTGCTTTGCAGCTACTTCAGCAGAGTTGAGAGACCATATAGCCCACCAAGCCTAAAATATCTAGTCTCTGGCTCTCTACAGAAAAGGTTTGCCGGCCCCTGTTCAGATGATAAGACAAAGGCAAAGCCAAGGGCCCGAGAAGCCAGGCTAAATCATTCGACACTTGGGCGGGGTTGGCTTTTCTCTTCTCTCTATTTCTACTTGAGCCTGGCCTGGTTCAAGTGCTATGTCCTTCTCAGAGTCTTCCTGACAGCTCCCTGAACTCCTGAGGCCCTTCCTGGCCACACTGTTCACATGGCCCCCTCTCTCATATGGGAAATTCTACTACAGCTGGACTGGGACCTGCAAGGCAGAGACCGCGTCTAATACCCCTTTGGATCCTAGGTGTGGGTACAGTGCCTTACTTGTGAGCAAACACATATTAAAATACAGTGATGTGAGGCTTCAGAGTTATGAAACCACCACAGATGATCACCTGCAGAGCAGGACAGTGCACAAAATTCACCTGACCACTGGCCTCTCACTTCAGCCATGACTTCATGTTTTTATATATGTAACAGCTGTACCGAGTGCCTTAGTTACCTGGTGCTGCTATAACAGAAACACCACACGTGGGTGGCTTTAACAAACAGAAATTTATTTTCTCACAGTTTAGGAGGCCAGAAGTCTGAATTCAGGGCACTGGTTCTAGGGGAAGCCTTTCTGTCTCTGTCAGCTCTGGGGGAAGGTCCTTGTCTCTTCAGCTTGTTTCCTGGTTCCTTGAAGAACTCCATGTGGCTTGGCATCTCTTTCCCATGTCTGCTTCTTTCACTTGCTTGTTTCATCTCTTTATATCTCAAAAGATACTGACTCAAAACACACCCTACACTAATCCTGTCTCATTAACATACCAAAGACACCCACTCCCAAACGGGATAACCATAGGCATAGAGGGAGACACAGTTCATTCCATAACATTCCACTCTTTGGCCCCCCAAAATTCATGTCCTTGCCACATACAAAACATATTCACCCCATCACATCACCTCAAAAGTTTTAAATCAACTCCAAATCTAAATTCCACCCTAGATCAAAATTCATCTTCATCTGTGAACCTGTGAAATCTAGAATACAAGTTACCTGCTTCCAAAGTACAACAGTGGGACAGGCACAAGGCAGACATTTCCATTACAAATGGGAGAAATTGGAAGGAAAGAAGGGATAATGGGCACAAGAAAGTCTAAAACCCAATAGAACAATTTACAGTAGCTCTCAAGCCTTGAAAATAATCCTTTGTTCTTTGAGACCATCTGGGCAATGGCCCCGCCCTCCAGACTGTGGGTGTTGGCCACTTCCTCTGGATTCTGGGTAGAGGCCCCTCTGCCCTGGGCTTCAGCCCCACCTTCTAGGCCCTCTGGGATGGCAACTCTGCTCCCTCGGCTTTGGGTGGCCCCATTCTCCTAGTCCATCTGAGTGGTGACCCTATCCCCTTGGCACCAGTAGGCCCCATTCTTCTGCCCCTTCGGCATGGGACCCTCACCCCTTCAGCTTTGGGTGGTGGATCCATCTCCCTGGCACACCTTAACGGTAGCCCCACACTCTGGAACCAAGATGATGAAGATCCAACTCTTTGAAACCTAGGAAGCTGTGGTCCCACACTTTGAGACCCAAGAGACCATGGCCCCACGCTTTAAACCAAGAAGATCCCGTTTTCCATGCTGCTTCCAACAGTTCTGCTGATCTCCAAGCTGCTCCAGGGATGATCCTTTTCTTTTCTTGGAGGACAACAGATTTAGCTCCTTTGACCTGTTTTCTGCCTTTAGAATTCCAAGAGGCAGACAACATTCTTTCTTTTCGTTCAGTCTGAACTGATTGGTTTTCTGCTGTGGTAGTTGGTTAGATCCATATCCTTGGTGAACATTCTAGAACACAAGTCCTTAGTTGAACAACAGAATTTTCCAAATCTTTAAGTTCTGTTTTCATTTTGCACAGTTCATTTTTAAGTTCATCTCTTTCCTCTGGCATTTCACTACAAGTGGCAAGGAGAAACCACATGGCCCCTTTAAGATCTTGCTTAGAAATCTCATCAGCCAGATATCCAATTCATCACTTACAAGTTCTACCTTCCACTAAACATTTGAACATAATTTAGACAACTTCTTTGCCACTGCATAAAAAACATTGCCCTTTCTCCATTGTCCAATCACATGTTCATCGTTTTCTTTTAAAGTCTCACCAGAAGCATATTTAACGTCCACATTTCTAGCAAAATTCTGTTGCTGGTGCCATATATATTCTCTAAGATGATAAAACTTTCTCCACAGCTCTGCTCACTTCCTTTGAACCCTCACCAGAATTGCCTTTGATGTCCATACTTCTATCAACTGTCTCTTCAAGGCAATCTAGGCTTTTACTATTAGACACCTTAAAACTCTTCTAGCCTCCACCCATTACCCAATTCCAAAACCACTTCCACACTGTAGGTATTTGTTAGAGCAGCACCTCACTTTTCTGGTACCAAACTGTGTTAGTTATCTAGTGCTGCTATAACAGAAATACCACAAGATAATGGCTTTAACCAGCAGAAATCGATTTTCTCACAGTTTAGGAAGCTTGAAGTCCAAATTCAGGGCGCAGGCTCTAGGAGAAGACTTTCTCTCTGTCAGCTCTGGAGGAAGGTCCTTGTCTCTTCTGAGCTTCTGCTCCTGGGCAATATCCATGTGGCTTGGCATCTCTCTTCCCCTATCTCTGTGTCTTTGGCTTGCTTGTTTAATCTCTTTTATATCTCAAAGGACGCTGACTCAAGAACACCCTATACTAATCCTGTCTCATTAACATAACAAAGATAACTCATTCCCAAATGGGATTATAACCACAGGTACAGAGGTTAGGATTTACAACACATATTTTGGGGGGACACAATTTAATCAATAACACTGAGGTATAATTCACATACTATAGAACTCACCCTTTAAAAGCGTACAATTCAGTAGTTTTTAGTACACTCACAATGTTGTGTGACCATCACCACTCTCTAATTCCAGAACATTTTCATCACCCCAAAAGACAACCCCGTACTCATTAGCAATCACTCTTCAATTCCCTGCCTCCACTCCCAGCCCCTGGAAACCATTAATCTACTTTCTGTCTCTATGGGTTTGCTATTCTGGATATGTCCTATCAATGGAATCATACAATATGTGGCTATTTGTGTCTGGCTTATTTCACTCTGATAATGTTTTAATGTTTTTAAGATTCTTCTATGTTATAGCATGTATCAGAACTTATTCCTTTTATGGCCAAATAATATTCCAAATAATAATCAATTGATGGACATTTCAGTTGTTTCTACTTTTAGGTTATTGTCAATAACGCTGCTATGAACATTAGTGTACAAGTTTTTGTGTGGACATGTGTTTTGATTTCTCTTGGGTATATACCTAGGAGTGAAATTGCTGAGTCATATGGTAACTCTATGTTTAGTCTTTTGAGGAACTGCCAGTCTGTTTTCCACAGTGGCTGTACCATTTTACAATCCCACCAGCAGCATGGGAATGTTCCAATTTCCCACATCCTTGTCAACACTTGTTATTTGTCATTTATTTTTAGTCATCCTAGTGGGTATGAATAACCTTCATTTTTATGGAAACAGAAGAGCTAGGAAGTGATCCTGGGGGAAAGTGGTTGCCGCCCTATAGGCAAGATGGTGATGGAGAAGCTACAGGCCAGGGCTTACCAGATGGGCTGCTGCTTCAGGTGCGTGTATAGGTAGATCTTCTCCCCCTTCTTTTCCTCCTCTGGGCTATACACAGTCACTGTGGGATGAGGAAGAAAGACTGACAGGGGCTCTGATGTGTACCCACATGTCAGTAAACCCTACAACCAGAGCCTCCTGGTGGTCATTTCTTCTTCCACAAATCAGAGCAAAGGTCATAAAAACATGTCATTCCACACAGCTTCTCTGCCTCACAGAGAGTAATGATACTGCTTATCAACTGTCAATAAGGGTCTCTTCCAAGGATGGGTCTATGGGGTGGCTGACCTCCCACCCCAGTAATGCTTGCCTAGAAATGTGGCTCTTCCACAGAAATACAGGAAGAAAATATAGGCCATTGGAGCTAGAAAACAACTCAGGAATCACCTAAGGCAGCATCCACATGCCACAGAGAGGAAAGTAAAGCTCAAAGGCACTCGCTGTCTTGTGTTAACACTGCTATTTAACAGTGGGCTGGTTAAGACCCCTATGGGGGGCTCAGTTATAAGGACCCAGCAGAGCTCTGCTGTGGCTGTTAAGTGCATCTACAGGGAACAGCAATGCCCCTCCTCTTTGGACCCCAAGAACACGGAGCAGGTATTTGCAGGTGAGGACCCCACTCACCTGTCTTCTGCTGCTTCTCCTTGGGTTTGTTGTCATCTTCCCTGAGGGAGAGAAACCACAGCGATGACAAGTCTGACCCACGCCAATGAGCTCAATCTGCATTTTCTCAAGTCCAAGAAACCCTGTTTACATTTCTGAGACGCGATCATGTCTTACAGGCTATGTGTACATTTAATGCAGTTTTCTCTGAAAAATCTGTATTAGATGGATGTGACACCTATCAATGGCCAATGTGTAGAATTTGAGACATGTTTCGGCTGTTTTTTTTTTTTTTTTTTTTTTGGCATTTCAACCCTTGTTACGTGTACAATTTGGTGACATTAATTATGTTCACCATGTTGTGCAATCATTACCACTATCCATTACCTTTTCTTTTTTTTTTTTATCACTTTTAACAGAAACTCAGTGCCCCTTAAGCAGTAACTCTCCATTTCCCTCTCCCTTAAGCCCCTGGTAACCACTAATCTACTCTGGTCTCTATGTTTCTGCCTATTCTGGATATTTCATATAAGTGGGATCATATACTATTTGTCCTTTTGTGCCTGGCTTATTTCACTCAGCATCGTGTTATTCAGGTATTTAGGCTTCTTTATGCCATTTTCTCTGAATCCAAACTGTACAGCCCAGAGGAGGCATAAGTCAAGTCACCCAGCTGTAACCAAACCACTGGTGGTGACAGACAGGGTCATGGTGACACACACAGGACTCCCTGGAGCTGAGAGCCCTGTCTGGCTGACACCTCTCCCTTTCTTTGTGAAAGCCTTGACTTCTACATCCCTGCTTGTATATGCCCATCCCAAAGATGTTCCCCAAATTTCCATTTGAGATGTGCTCTCCTGGGGGACAGAGGCTTTCTCTTGCTTCTTCATTCCATTAACACTAACTCTCACCCCAGTTTGGAGGAGGAAGGAGGAGGGAAAGTTTATGATTTCCCTCCTGCAACTGACAGTCTCCATATGCTTCTCATCAATCCAAGAGAAATACGCACACCACAGGGAACATCCTTGCATGTTAACACACAGAACGGCATCCGGAAGCCAGAGAAAACTCTGAGGAGCAGAAAGCCAAGCTGCACTGCCAGCTGCATCACTCGTGAGCAGCTCTAGGTCCCCAGAGACTGCAAGGGGGAACAGATACTCTATCTCACTATGTCATTCACTATGCGAGGGTTTAATCTGGCCTCTCTCCATGTGTCATGCTGACGTGACTGCCCCTCCCTCAGTGAGTCAGAGACACATGCAGGTAACACTTACTCATTTCTCTTCACTAGGGGCCCCTTCAGCTTGGTTTCTAGCCCCCCAAAGAAGCCCTTCATGTTCTCGGTCTTCACTGAGGTATTCTTCAGGAGCCGCTCAGCAATGTCCTTCTTCTCTGCTAGCCAGCTGTTGGCAGATTTCAGGTAGGAGTCAATGCTCCCCACAGGCTTCTCCTTGGATTCTGAAGGGAGTAGGTGTGGCTTACCTAGAGAGAGAGGATACTGTATTTGCATAGTAGAAACAACAGATGGCAAAAAGGAAATGCTCATTAGGGTACCAAAGCAGATTGGGGGGGGGTAAGAAAACCTCCTTCCTCAATCCCATTGAATAAAATAGCAGGAGGCGAAAGACTCAGTGGCTGCATATGAAACAACTGAGGGCTTGGGACTCCTTCTCTCTCTAAGAGCAGTCAGTAAGCATACACTGTATACAAAGAAGTCTGCCAGGTACTATGAGGGAGGAAAGAAGGAACAGGTAAGGATCCAGCCCTAGAGAAGCACAAAGTCTGGTAGGGAATAAGAAAGGTGCACAAATAGCTAGAGTACAAAAGAGGAAGTGATACACGTTGTAATGGAGATAAAGTGTCATGGGAAGACAAGGAAAATATTCTTTCCCTGTGGTAGGGAGGCAGGCTGGATGGTACCTGGACTGGCCAGGAAAACAGGTGGACATTGGAGGTGGAAAGATGGCAGGAGGATGACACTCTAGGTAGAAGGAGGAGTATGAGTGAAGGCAGCCCAAGGAATGTCCCTTTCTTAGGGCAGTGTATGGGACCTACAGGAGTCCGGGTGGTGCAGTGGTTAAGCGCTAGGCTGCTAATAGAAAGGTCCCAGGTTTGAACCTAGCAGCTGCTCTGTGGGAGAAAGATGTAGCAGTCTGCTTCCATAAAGATTTACAGCCTTGGAAACCCTATGGGGTAGTTCTACTCTGTCCCATAGGGTTGCTATGAGTTGGAATCAACTTGATGGCAATGGGCTTGGATAAGACCTATGGGTCGATGAGCCCTGTAGGGGTCAAGGCGCCCTGTGTGAGTCAAGGTAACAAGTGTCCTCTACTAGTTAAGCTACTCTGTGCACAGATCCTTCTCAGGTAAGCAATCAAGCCATTCTCTGAGAAGCCGGAGCCACAGTTTGTACCGGGGGTTCTCCCCTGACCAAAGGCAACCGTGGAGTGGTGTAGCATGAAGGGCCTGCCTGCTGGTGGCGTGGCCAGGTGCTAAGGCAGTTAGGTCGCTGCAGCCTGCAGAGCTAAGGGCATGGAGAGAATGGGCTGCTGGTGGGAAGAAGACGACAAAACCGACATGCAGAGGGAAGGAAATACACCACGTGAGCAGGTACATGGGTCATGAGAGGGTGGAAGGGAGGCCCGTGCTGGGCACTGCCCTGATCCAGCTCTGGTCCCCGCAGAAGCTCACAGCAACCCTCTAGACACAGTGGCCTGAAAGAGTCTCTGCTGTTACAGAACAAGGAGCTTAACATGGAGTCCTCAAGCTCCAATGTACCAGAAGGTTCTGGGGAATGAATGAGCCAGAAGAGATCTCATAGCCTTAGCATAAAGAAAAATCTGCGCTCTTAACAAGGGCCTCTTCCCAGCCTAAGATCCTAGACTGTTCCTCTCCATCTCACCTCCACAGCCATCCATGTGTTGTCTTTGGCTAAAACATAAAACTGGTATCATCATATCCAGTAATTCCTGGCTCCACTATGAAAGTCCTGCCTAATGTGTTGATTTTCTCATTTCCTAACAGCTTGGTGATTTCCTTTGTACCGTGGAAAGCCAACTTCTCAACTCATGAATGGACCATATCTTCTCCCATTTTAGGAGCTTCACTCTTTATTCATGCCGTCCCTAATATCGAACTTCCTGTGGGCTCTGGAAGCTCCACAGGTGTTGCCTTTAATCAAGAGGGAAGCTTCACTTGACTCCACATTGCAAGTTGACAAGTCTCAGGTTTCCAAGCTTGAGCTCCACAAAACCAGTACCACTCTTACCGATGTGATAGTAGGTGAAGCACATGGTCATGAGGTTCTTGGCAGGCCCAAAGTCATCCATCTGGTAACACCTGAAATGAGAAGCAAGGCCGGCTGGCTAAAGAACCATTCCACCCAACTCCCTCACTGTGAGTTAAGTAAAAAAGACCAAAATGTTTTATACACATGTCTAAATTAGTACTTTACTCCCAAGAGGCAACAAAAAATGATCCCCTTAGTCCAATTAGTGAGTTACTCACAGACATATTCACTAGGACCCCAGTTTGATTCTGGGCAGTTGGGAGTTCATCTTCTGTTTTCATGCCCTCTTTGACTTAAAGGTAGAAAGGCTGAGGCCCAGGAAGCACAACTCAACACACAGGGTAGAGCCAGGACTACAAGTCTGGCCTCAAGTCTTAGTTCAACACCACTAGCTCCAGGCCACTGGCCCTCCATCACTTCCCAGGAATTAGCAGTGAATTACACGATAAACTCCACATCAGTGTTCTCCAGACTTGAGCTGCATCCGGATTCCCTGGAGGCCATATTAACCAGGGATTTGAACTGGTTTGTTCTGTTTTGAACTCCTGCTGAGAATTTGGATTTCCATCCCAGATATACTGAATCAGAATCTACAGTTTAACAAGATGCCCAGGTGATTCTTATGTATAATAAATTTTGAGAATCACTGCTCTACAGGTGGTTCTCAGAATTGGTCCCTAAACAGAAGCATTTAGCATTGCCTGGAAATTTGTCAGAAATGCACACTCTCAGCAGGGGTTCCAACCAGAACTAACTGGTTTGAAGCCTCGGTGTTAACACCATAGATCAATGGGTCCAAGTCCCAGAGTCTCTGATTCAGGAGGTCTATGGTTGGGCCTGAGAATCAGGGCTTCTTTTCACATCTCCCTTCTGATGCTGCTGCTGCTCTGGGGACCACACTTTGAGAACCACTGCATTATATTATAAAATTGGGAACAGAAATGCCTACCTAGCTACTGCTACAACGACAGATACATTGACCAATGGAACACAATTGAGAACCCAGATGTAAATCCATCCACCTACAGTCACCAGATCTTTGACAAGGGCCCAAAGTCCAATCAAATACGGAAAAGACAGTCTTTTTAACAAATGGTGCTGGCAAAACTGTATGTCCATCTGCAAAAAAAAATGAAACAGGACCCATACCTCACACCACACACAAAAACTAATTCAAAATAGATCAAAGAGCTAAACATAAAACCAAAAACTATAAAGATCATAGACGAAAAAATAGGGTCAATGCTAGAGGCCCTAATAAATGGCATTAACAGGATATAAAACATAACTAACAACACACAAACTTCAGAAGATAAGCTAGATAACTTGGATCTTCTAAAAATTAAATACTTATGCTCAACAAAAGACTTCACCAAAAGAGTGAAAAGAGAACCTACAAAGTGGGAAAAAAATTTTGGCTATTACAAATTTGACAAAGGTCTAATGTCTAAAATCTACAGGAAAATACAACATCTCTACAACAAAAAGACAAATAATCCAATTAAAAAATGGGCAAAGGAAATGAACAGATACTTCACCAAAGAAGACATTCAAGCAGCTAACAAGACACATGAGGAAATGCTTGCAGTCACTAGCCATTAGAGAAATGCAAATCAAAACCACAATGAGATATCATCTCACCCCAGCATTACTGGCATGAATCAAAAAAACAGAAAATAACAAATGTTGGAGAGGCTGCAGAGAGATTGGAACTTTTATGCACTGCTGATGGGAATGCAAAATGGTATAACCATTTTGGAAAATGATATGGCGCTTCCTTAGAAAGCCAGAAATAGATCAAATACCATATGATCCAGCAATCCCACTTCTAGGAATATAAACTAGAGAAGTAAGAGTCATCACACGAACAGACATATGCACACCCATGTTCACTGCATCATTGTTCACAATAGCAAAAAGATGGAAACAACCTAGATGCCCATCAACAGATGAATGGATAAACAAACTGTGGTACATACATACAATGGAGTACTATAAAAAGATAAAGAACAATGATGAATGTGGGAAGCATCTCACAACATGGATGAATCTGGTAAGCATTATGCTGAGTGAAATAAGTCAATCACAAAAGGACAAATATTGTATGAGACCACTACTATAAAAACTCATGAAAATGTTTACACACAAAAAGAAACAATCTTTGATGGTTACAGAGGGGAGTGGTGGTGAAGATGGAAAAACACTAAATAGACAATACGTAAGTGGTAACGTTGGTAAAAGGTAAGACAAGACAGTACACAATACTGGGGAAGCCAGCACAATTTGTCCAAGGCAAGGTCACGGAAGCTCCATAGACACATACAAACTCCCTGAGGGACTGAATTGCTGGGCACAGGGCTGTAGGGACCATGGTCTTGGGGAACATCTAGCTCAACTGGCATAACACAGTTTATAAAAACATTGTTCTACATTCTACCTTGGTGAGTAGTGTCTGGGGTCTTAAAAGCCTGTCAGCAGCCATCTAAGATACTCCACTGGTCTCACCCCTTCGGGAGCAAGGGAGAATGAAGAGAACAGGATACAAGGAAAAGATTAGTCCAAAGGACTAATGGGCCACAGCTACCAAGGCCTCCATCAGACTCAGTCCAGTACAGCTAGATGGTGCCTGGCTACCACCACTGACTGCTCTGACCAGGATCACAACAGAGGGTTCTGGACAGAGCTGGAGAAGGATGTAGAACAAAATTCTAACACAAAAAAAGACCAGATTTACCGGCCTGACAGACTGGAGAAACCCCGAGAGTATGGCTCCTGGACACCCTTTTAGCTCAGTGGTGAAGTCATTCCCGAGGTTCACTGTTCAGCTGGGGATTGGACAGCCCCATAAAACAAAACAGGACTAATGAGGCACAGCAGTCCAGGGACAAGGACTAGAAGGCAGAAGGGGACAGGAAAGCTGGTGATAGGGAACCCAAGGTTGAGTAATGACAGTGTTGACATGTAGTGGGGTTCTTAACCATTGTCATAGGGCAATATGTGTACTGTTTAATGGAAACGATTTTGTTCTGTAAACCTTCATCTAAAGTGAGAATAGCAGCACGACTGGAAGAACGTAATTGACATAACTGAATTGTACATGTAGAAATTTTTGAAATGGTGTATCTTTGGCTAGGTATATTTTCACCAAAAAAAAAGGTCCTCCAAGGCCAAGAAGGGAGCATGTTGACATGTCGTGGAGTTGTTAACCAATGTCATAAAACAATCTGTGTACTGACCGTTTAATGAGAAAGTATTTGTTCTGTAAACCTTCACCTAAAGTACAATAAAAAAAAAAATTAAAAAAAAAAGAGAATCTTTGATGGTTACAGGGGGGAATGGTGGCGGAGATGGAAAAACACTAAATAGACAATACATAAGTGGTAACGTTGGTGAAGGGTAAGACAAGATAGTACACCATACTGGGGGAGCCAGCACAACTTGTCCAAGGCAAGGTCATGGAAGCTCCACAGACACATCCAAATTCCCTAAGGGACCGAATTACTGGGCTGAGGGCTCTGGGGACCATGGTCTTGGGAACATCTAGCTTAACCGGCATAACACAGTTTATAAAGAAAATGTTCTACATTCTACATTGGTGAGTAGCGTCTGGGGTCTTAAAAGCTTATGAGCAGCCATCTAAGACACTCCACTGGTCTCACCTCATCTGGAGCAAGGGAGAATGAAGAAAACCAAAGCCACAAGGGAAAGATTAGTCCAAAGGACTAATGGACCACAACTACCACAGCCTCCACCAGACTGAGTCTAGATGGTGCCTGGCTACCATCACTGACTGCTCTGACAGGGATCACAATAGAGGTTCCCGGACAGAGACGGAGAAAAATGTAGAACAAAATTCTAACTCACAAAAAAAGGTCAGACTTACTGGCCTGACAGAGACTGGAAAAACCCAGAGAGTATGGCCCCCAGACATTCTTTTAGCTCAGTAATGAAGCCACTCCTGAGGTTCACCCTCCTGCCAAAGATTAGACAGGCCCATAAAACAAAACGAGACTAAAGGGGCACACCAGCCCAGAGGCAAGAACTAGAAGGCAGGAGGGGACAGGAAATCTGATAATAGGGAACCCAAAGTCAAGAAGGGGAGAGTGTTGACATGTTGTGGGGTTGTTAACCAATGTCACAAAACGATATGTGTATTAATTGTTTAACGAGAGGCTAGTTTGTTCTGTAAACCTTCATCTAAAGTACAATAGAAAAGAAATGCCTACCTAGCTTATGCCACTTGTTGAAAATCAAATGAAATTATGAGATAAAAGAAACTTTTATGTTGAAAAATGTTCTACAAATATACAGGATTATATTTACTATATTACGATATACATATAGATCCATTCAACTTAGCAAACCAAAAAAAGGGGAAAAAACTTTAAAAAGAAGGCCTTTCTCCACTGTCATTTACACTATTACAGTTGCAAAAGCTACGATGATGTCCACTGCAGCATTGTTAATGAGAAAAGAAAACAAGCAGCAACAATCTAAATGTCTGTCATTAGGAGAATAAATTACAGTACATCCATTTATCAGAATAGCATACAGCCATGGAAAATGCAGAACTAAATATAATGCCTTTTGTGGAAAAAATACATGGAGTCAATCGTTACTATTCATAGATTCTGTCCTTGCAAATTTGCCTAAACCAAAATGCAAACCCACTGCTGTCTAGTGGATTCCGACTCATAGCGACCCTATAGGACAGAGCAGAACTGCCCCATAGGGTTTCCAAGGCTGTAAATCTTTACGGAAGTAGACTGCTACATCTTTCTTCTGCAGAGCGGTTGGTGGGTTTGTTGCCGATCTTTTGGTTACCAGCTGAGCGCTTTAACTGCTGTGCCACCAGGGCCTCTGCAAATTCACCTACTCAATAAAATTTATTGGCAACCCCAAAATCAATACCCGTGGGGCTCTCCTGGTCATTTGTGGACATGCTCAGGGCTGCAGAAAACTTAAGTCACCCTACACGCACACAGAGGTCCAACAAGGCTGGCTCAGTTTTCACTAACTAGTGTTGGCAGCGGCATAGAACATAATGACAGTGAATAATGAAATTCGGCTGTATTTGCTGGTATGTTAATCGTTTAACAGGAATTACCTTCGTGGAGATGGATCAAAAGTGAGAGGGTAGGGGTGTGAAACAGGCCTTCCTTTTCATGCTAGAGCTCATGGCGTCTTTCTACAGTGTTCCCTCTTACAATTTTCTTCCTATTTAGTTTTTAACCTTGGACAAAGTATTACAAGAAAAAAGTCAACAGAAATTATCTAGACAGTGGGACTATGGGTCATTTTTATTTATCACTGTTTTTACATTTTTGAAAAGCTAATCAATTTAAAGAACTAAACTACTGGTAAAAGTATAAAAGACTGAATAACAGTAAACGCTAAAGACAGTAATAAACTAAAAATTATAAAATTCATAAATTTTAAAAATTAGTATTTTTAAAATATTAGAATGGTTTTGCTCCTCCCCTCCTCCTCCCCACCAAAATATATGCTCATGAACCAAGTAATGGAAAGTTTTTGTTTTGGCGGGGTTAGAATCTCAATTGAATTTTTCCTCCCAATTTTATTTATTTAAGGAAAAATTAAAAGAAAAATTGAGAATTAGGTAAGTATGTTGACATGTGGGACTGGTGCAAATTATGCACAATGAGTTCATGAAAATTTCTATAGATGCAAATATTTGGAAATCAAGGTGTTTAAAAGGCACAAGAGAATGTTTAACATAAACCAACCTGGTAGCTTGTTTTAAATAACTCCCAAAGCGTCCTTTGGGCTGAGGGTGAGAGGACCCAGCAACTGCTTTTAGTTGACGGTTTCTCGTCCCTCCACCCTTGCTGGTTTTGAGTCCCAGATTCCCTGATGGGAAGCATACTTGGGCTTGGAATACTCTGAGCAATTGCAGGAAAAAGAGGGATTCTCCTCTTTTTTTGTCTTTTTCCTCCATATAGACCCCATATTCAAGGGGGAATAGAGAAAGATGAGGAGATACCAAGAAACAGGAGAATTAAGATTCAAGAAAGCAGCTATGTTTCTCTAGAGATAAGGGGAAAGAAAAGCAGGGGGGCAGTTTTCCAGGCCCGGAAGGACAACATGGACACGTGACATGGATAGGCAGTGGTGGGGAAGCAAAGGGGGGCTTCCAGACGGTATGGAACAAGGGAGCAGGTAGAGCCCAAGAGATTGTCAGAATAGGGGCCCCTTCTTCTTCCCTGCCACCACAATTCCTACTCTGCTCTACCTGCTGGGCTGAGGCTCTAGAACATTACAGCCACTGCTCAGCTTCCCCCAGGTATGGCTGGGTGAGGGGGCAGAGAAGCATCCTCTCTGTTCCATACTTTGGAAGGCATATCACCTACTCTGACTCAAGTCCAAAATGTGTGAAACGGGTCCTGTCACCCTAGAAAGTTGTGGGACCTTGGAGGAGAAGAGGCCTTGTAAGTCCTGTGGCCTGGCTCCCTGATCTGACAGATGAGCTGCGGTGGCAGACTTTGGAGGACTCTTTCAAGGTGGAGGGGGGCAGTGGTGGTTCAGTGGTAGAATTCTCGCCTATATGTGAGAGACCTGAGTTCCATTCCTGGCCAATGTACCTCATGCACCCGTCTGTCAGTGGAGGCCTGCGTGTTGCTGTGATGCTGAACAGGTTTCAGCAGAGCTTCCAGACTAAGACAGACTAGGAAGAAAGGCCCAATGATCTACTTTAAAAAATCAGCTAATGAAAACTCTATGGATCACAATGGTCCAGTCCACAACTGATCATGGTGACAGTACAGGATCAGGTGGCAATAGCAGCTAACAAAAACAATTCAAGCTTGGCTGGCAGCCCTATGCCTTTTCACTAGCCCACACTGCCTAATAATGCCTTGTGGGAGAAAAGGCTCCAGAAGAGCCTAATTCGTACTCATAGGGCATCTAAAGTTGTCAGATTATATGGTTTTATTTGCTTGTGGGGTAGGCGGTTACCTAGTTTGAGTACTTCACTATAGAAAGCCAAGAAAATCTCAGGCCTCAGTTGGAGGAGCGCAGGGTGAGTGCAGTAATCACTGCCTGTCCCTGAAGGCTGAGCCTGGAAGAATTTACTCATACCCAGCTGCACACTCCCCTAACTTCACTGTTAGGTAAAGGCCGCTAATTCTGCTTCCCCAGAACACTGGTCATGACTTCTTCCAGTTGATGCTGATACGCTGGAGCAGTTTCATGCTGATGACTAGTGTGGATATGACTCACAACTGTGCTATTACAGGGTGGGGAAGGTTATAAAGAAAAGTTCTTTGGAATAAAGGCTTTGAGCAACAGTCATACTTACTCAAACAGCACCACCGCAAACGACTGCACCAGGCGGTAGAAGGTTGGCTCTGAGACACACTTGGAGTTGCAGCGCTGTCAGAGAGAGGACAGACACAGTCATCAGGGATGGCTTGAGGGTGTGCAGAGCTCAGCAGGGTCAGTGTGGTGTAGGCCCATCACTCTGACCCTCTCTAAGCACAGCTGGGACAAAGGCTCGGGACGGCCACGTTCTGCCCCCTGCACTACAGAAAGCCACCACTCGTTTCCACCAGGCACCTCAGTACACAGCTGTCACTTGGCAGAACGCAAGCAGACATGTTCCTGGGTAGTCCCTACAACACTTTAAAAATTAGAAACTTCTCGCACTCCCCTACACAAGGAAAAGTATGGAGGGACAAAACCCCAAAATGACAACACTGGCTATTTCTGGATGGTAGGTTTATTTGTTTTTCTTTTTGTTTGTCTGCATTTTCTCATTTTTCTATGAAGAATAAACTATGTGTGCAAGAAATACTTTAGTAAAAACAGTAAGAACTTAAGCTAGTTTACAAAAAAAAAAAGAGCCTGTTGGATGTTTACACCACTTAATTTGCTTCTGAACTTGTTAATACACATCTCTTTTGCATGGCTATAATTGTATTGGATATAGTATCTTTTACAGAAACGGAATGTTGTGGGATATTTAATAAAAACATGCACGGACAAAGTCCACGTAGTTGTCTTTAAAACAGTGATTTTCTGATATTCCATCAGGCTGATAGACCACAGTCTGCTCACTCATCCTCTATAGTCTGGCATCCAAGTGAGTCAGCTGCCATTCCCCACTATCCTCCATAGTCCTTTTCAGAATGTCTTTGGATAAATTTTACACTTTTTTCTGTCGAGTCATTTCCCTGGGCTATTTTCTCCAGAGTAGAATTACATAGTCAGTTAAGGAGGTAGGAAGTTGTTCTGTATCACCTACTCATCCTAGGTAAATAGTTGATCCTTCCAAGAGAATGCCTTTTCTTCCCACCTCACTGCCCCCTCACCTGGGCGCTCACATATCGGGCAAACCACTCCCGGCCTTTTGCATTCTCGCTGCTGCAGTACTCCCCAAACTTGGCTTTCTCCTCCTGGTCCAAATCCTCCCTGAAAAAAAAAGAGCAGAGGAAAAAAAACAATACTTTTTAATGTTCTGAAGGAAAAGAGAAGAGAGGGCACCAACAAGAATTGCACCCCAAACCCCAGCCAAAAGCAGACATGTGAAATCACTCATTTCGCCCTTGCAGCAAACCTGTATAGACACAGTATTATCTCTAAAGATGAAGAGCCTGGCTCGGAGAATCAAGCTCAGCTACAGTGTGGCAAGCTGGAGTGCCATTCAGGCTATCTGGCTCCACAGCCCATTCCTTTCTCCCCTGCCCCCTGCCGTCCAGTAAGCCTGAGCATGGGTAAGGGTGCTACCACCCGAGCTCATCTAACTCCCCACTAATCTCTGACACTGAAGTTGGCATGGGACCACCCAGTAGACTCAAGAATTCCTGAATCTACTCATCTTGGCAACACATACTGAGGATGAGAAATAGCAGCAAGGCTATGCTAGTAAGGAAACCAACCTCCGACCTATGGGCAGGAGGGTGGGGTGGCTTCTTCCTACGTACTTCTGAGGAGCCAGCCCACTCAGCTCTCTGCACCTCTCTTGCTCTGCATGGAGTGATGGAGAGTGGAAACCCTCAGTCATGGGGGAGGAGTGGGGAGCCACCACTGCCAAGTAGACAGGATGCTCACCTGATTTCAAACCAATTCCACCCACTTTATGGGAGAGGCCAGTGCTCATTCCAAAATTTAAAGACTCGAAATGAAGCAGAGGCCGAAGATCAAGTGTCTGGTGCAAATTTCATTTATTTAAGGAAAGGTGAAAACATCTTGGCTTCATTGATCTCAAAATACCAACCAACACCAGACAAGATATGGGAATCTGCCAGCTATTTGCAGTGATTTTTTGAACACTTCTGAAAATGGAGCCAGTTCTGTTGTCCACGTTGCCAACAGGCTGACACAAAGCTGGATGGGGATTCATGGTGAGTCATTGTGCTGCTGGTCTGTGCTCAGAGAAAGCTACCTGGTTTCAGTGTTAGTCAACATAATTAGGAAGCCTCACACCCATTCATGATAAAAACACTCAACAAAATAGAAATAGAAGGGAAATTCCTCAACATAATTAAGGGCCTTTAAACAAAGTCAACAGCCAACATCATCCTAAATGGAGAGAGTTTGAAAGCATTCACCTTGAGAATGGGATCCAGACAAGGATGCCCTTTATCACCACTGTTATTCAACATTGTGCTGGAGGTCCTAGCCAGAGCAATTAGGCTAGGAAAAAAAAAAAAAAAAAAAAGGGTATCCAAATTGATAGGGAAGAAGTAAAAGTATCTCTATTTACAGATGATATTATCTTCTACGCAGAAAACCTCAAAGAACCCACAAAAAAAACTACTGGAACTAACAGAAGATTTCAGCAAAATATCAGGATACAAGATAAACATACAAAAGTCAGTTGGATTCCTCTACACCAACCAAGAGAACTTCAAAGAGGAAATCACCAAATCAATACCATTTACAATAGCCCCCAAGAAGATGAAACACTTAGGAATAAATCTAACCAGACACGTAAAAGACCTACACAATGAAAACTACAAGACACTACTGCAAGAAACCAAAAGAGACCTGCAGAAGTGGAAAAACATACCTTGCTCATGGATAGGAAGACTCAACATTGTGAAAATGTCAATTCTACCCAAAGCGATCTACAGATACAATGCAATCCCGATCCAAATTCCACCGGCATTTTTTAATGAGATGGAGAAACACATCACCAACTTCATATGGAAAAGGAAGAGGCCCCAGATAAGTAAAGCATTACTCAAGAAGAAGAACAAAGTGGGAGGCCTCACACTACCTGATTTTAGAACCTATTATACTGTCACGGTAGTCAAAACAGCCTGGTACTGGTACAACAACAGATACATAGACCAATGGAACAGAGTTGAGAATCCAGACATAAATTCATCCACCTATGAGCAGCTGATATTTGACAAAGGCCCAAAGTCCATTAATTGGGGAAAAGACAGCCTCTTGAACAAATGGTGCTGGTATAACTAGATATCTATCTGCAAAAAACTGAAACGAGACCCATATCTCACACATGCACAAAAACTAACTCAAAATGGATTGAAGACCTAAATTATAAAATTGAAAATGATAAAGAGCATGGAAGAAAAAATACAGACAATACTAGGAGTCCTAATACATGGCATAAACAGAATACGAACCATAAGTAACTGTGATGGTTAACATTGTCAACTTGGCTGGGACATGATTCTCAGTGTTTTAATGTGATCACTTCCATGATTGAATATACTGTGAGTAACCAATCAGATGAAAGGGTGTTTCCTTGGGGGTGTGGCCTGCATCTGAATATAAGCAGACATTCTGGCTTTTTGCTCACTCTGGATCTGGATCCTGCGGCTGCCTCCTGTCATCTCATCTCTGGTTCTTGGGACTTGAGCTGTCTGCTTATCTGCTGAACTTGGGATTCATCAATCTTCACAGCCTGTGAGCGGAGCCCTGCTCTCTGACCTGCTGATCTTGGGTTTGCCAGCCCCTGCAGCTATGTGAAATAGGAGAAACCTTGTGGTCTTGCCTGTCGATCTTGGAATTCATCAACCTTCACAGCCTGTGAGCTGGAGCCCTGCTCTCTGACCTGCCAATCTTGGGCTTTCCAGCTTCTGCAGCTGCATGACTTGGGATAGCCTCTACCGTGATACATGGACTTGGGATGTTCTAGCCTCTACAATTGTTTGAGCTATTTCCTTGATACAAATCTCTCTCTCTAAATATATAGTTATACGCTTTACTGGTTTTGCTTCTCTAGAGAACCCAGCCTAAGACATTTGGTACCGGGAGTGGTTCTAGAGAAACAAAATTGTAAGGATGAGTTTTCTAAATTGGTTCTCAAGTCTGGTTAGTCTTAAAGATGTTGATGACTCTGCTTCCAGCAGTGAAGAGGGCACTGATAGTCCATGGAGTGAGGTGGTGATATAAATACACAAAATATCACCACCAGTAGATCAGGTATTGGTGAAAGGTGAGGCTCAGGGTGAACACATGTGTGGTATCTTCCTACAGCTTTGTAAGAATGAGAAGTATAAGGAAGCAGGTTGGTTTGTCCTACTTTCGCTAGACAAATTGGTGAAAGAAAGAGGTGCGCTCAGGGCTTCAGAGTCAAAGCTCAAGTGCCACATACATGACCTCAAGGTTTCCACTTGTGCTTTGAAAGAAAGCCTTATTTCTTGTAGTAACAGAGACGAAATTGCTGAAAAACCAAACCCAGAGTCTTATTGTAAGAGTGGCTGAATTATAACACCAGCTCAACTGCAAACCTTGAGAGGTGTCTGAAGTTAAAATAATGGCATTGACTGGGAAGAAATGGAATCCTGAAACTTGTGATGGGGACATACAGGCAGATAATCAGCAAGCTGGGGACACTGAGCCCCTAAATTCCATTGAATCACTTCTGACAGCAGAACCAGTCCCATTTGAAGAGATTACTTCATGTTTGTCTGCTAAACCACCCTGCCCAGAAAAACTACTAGCCCCTTCACTCCTGTCTAATGAGATTAGCCCTAGCCCAGCTGCCTCTAAAGAGCCCTTGCCTGAGTCATTGCCTGGGGCATCGCCTGAGGCAGATGTTTTACAAGACAAAGCTGAATGTTCTCAAAATAATTCCACACTACCAATTCTGGCTTCTAGACCTATAACTAGGCTTAAGTTCCAGTGAGCCCCAAAAGGTGAAGTACAAAGTGTGACCCAGGAGGAGACGTGTTACACTCCAAAAGAACTACTTGACTTTTCTAATATGTACAAACAGAAACCTGGGGAATATGTGTGGGAATGGCTATTAAGGGTGTGAGATAATGGTCCAAGGAACATAAAGATGGATCAGTCTGAGTTTACTGATATGGGTCCACTAAGTACTACATATCGTTCATTCAATGTTTCAGCTAGAGAAGTTGGGAAAGGATCTAATAGTTTATTTGGTTGGGTTGCTGAAGCATGCATTACGAGGTGGCCTACACTAAATCAAGTTGAAGTACCAGACCTGCCTTGGTATACTGTAGAAGAAGGTATCCTAAGGCTTAAGGAAATTGGCATGCTAGAGTGGATTTATCAAGTTAGACCCACACATGGAGTGCCCAGAGGACATACCTTTTACACCTGTGGGGAACAAATTTGTGAAGGGAGCTCCAGTATTCTTGAAAACTACTATGACTGCTATTTTATGTAAGTCAGATTTGACAGCGGGAACTGCCCTAACTGAATTAAGACACCTAACCACAATGGGGCTGATTGGACTCCGTGGTAGTAGGGGCCAAGTGGCTGCACTCAACTGACAAAGACAAGGTGGACGTGCTTACAGTAATGGGCAGAGGAGTCAAAGCAGTAATCAGAATAGTATGACTTGTATGGATTTATGGCATTCGCTACTTAGTCATGATGTCCCTAGGAGTGAAATAGATAGGAAATCTACTAAATATTTACTTGATCTATACAAACAGATGAATTCTAGGTCAGGTGAACAGTAGTCTAACTCAACAGTAGTCTAACTCAAATTGCCAGAATATAGAGTCACGGTCCCTCAATCAATACCCAGATTTGAGCGAGTCTAAAGACCCACAACC